ATTGGCATCAGAAAAGCAGGGCATGGTCACTCTATACATATCACTTCCGAAAGGAGGAGAGAAAATGGTTGTGTACTATTGTTCCTATGGGAGAGCCGTTGCGAAGATTGTGTGTGCTGAGGCATGACACTTAAGTGCAATACGTGGCGTGCTGGACTTGTCATTACTCCGGTATGACAAGTTGAGTACAATTCGATTCCGATTACTCTGTTGAGGACGACGCTTCACCTTTTTTTCTCTTTAGGTCAGTAATCCTATTTAACCTTGTGGGTTGGGATACTACTAATGATTTCGAATGTTTGTTTCGATATTCAGAACTTCAAACCAAGAATCGACCACTTCTCTCGAAATGAACGAATGTCACCTTCGCGAATATGCCATCCGCCAAAAACAATCGAAACTCTATTCCACCGATCTATGACGAGACCGAACTCTCTATGTTTTCTCCCTCCTTCTCATTCGCATACAATTTTTTATTGCCCTCTAGCAAAGTGTACAACCCATTCAATTCATCCAGAAGGGCTTCGCAGTCTTGACTTCCATCTCGAGCTCTCTGAAACAACTCCAGAATCTGCCGACCTGTGGTATCGATCTTTTCCTTCAATCTTTCCGATGCTTTGAACACAGTCGCGCTCGATTTCTCCTCGACGGTTGACACACGTGCCTGCTTCAAGGCTTCCATGACTTGTGCGATTTGGTGATTGAGTTGCTCATACAGTGTATCTTCCGAATCGTCCACTTTCTTGATGTTGGTATCTTGATCCGGGTTGCCATATCTTGCATGTTGATTTAAATCTTCCGTCGGTTCTGCAATTTTCGATACACTGTCCAATTTCAAAGTCCATAGCTGTCTCAGGATCCTTTCTGGTGTATAAGTCTTGACACTTTGAACGTCGCTATCATACTCTTTAAGAACTCCCGAATAAATGACACCCGCATCCTTGATTACAGTACGTAATTTCTTCATGGCTTTCCCAAAAGGCAAAGTATCCTTGTATCTCGCGTCTTCGTAGTCGCTGCTTGAGTCGAACATGGATTCTGTACTCTCTGGACTTAATATTCGCCCCCCATTCTTAGTCGTTCTATCGAAACTTCTACTCAGTCGAAATTCGGGTCTGTATCTTTCACGGGCAGCTCTTCTAAATGGCTCTGAATCATATACGAAGTAAGGATTGGTGGCTCGACGGTATTCATCGTACAATGATTCAAATCTAGACTCTCTTCCAAAAGGTCGAAGTTGATGTTCAGTAGGTCGATTCATTTTATCACGTAAGGTTGACAACGCGCGTTCGCTGGATCTCAGGGGGAATCAGTAGCTTCAGAGACAAGTAGAGATTATGTGAGCTCGTGCTCAATAAGCAGGATGATAGTGGCCTTTGAGCCAATTTCTCTCGTTTGACTTGTATGGAACGGCTTCCAGCATGAATTCTCACACGATTGACTTCCATGATTGGCTGAGCATGTTACCGTGCATATCTGCATACATCCTAAGTCTTGTAGAAGCTGTCGCAATTCAAAAATTCTTATCCACAAATTATTTACCCATTTACAAACGGTCCCTCCAATGAATTTTCGTGAAAGAATATCCATTTGACTCCAATCCACAGGTGCTTGCTTCACATGCAGAGTCCCGCCGCTAGTAAACCTTACCCCGCCATTCATCGTCATGCTTAGAAATACAAGGACCTTGAACAATTATCAATCAACATCAAAACCTAATACAATCAGTAAATCATAAATGAAATCACAATTCTTTTTACCAAAAATTCTCTGCCGTACTTCATTATTCCATAAACCATCCATTTTCTTTCACCCTCAATATACCCGACCCAGGAGATTTACAAACACAATGTCTGGAGCAAAGGAATTCCCGCCACAGAAAGTAAAGGAAGTGGTGATTGAAGTTGCAAAGTTATTGAAGGAGAGAGGGGAAACTGTTAGTGTAGCTGAGACGGTATGTTTTATTTGCTTTCTTGTTGTTAATGTTTAGGGTTTGTGTTGTGTGGTACGTGGTTTGAAGTGGGAGCGGGAGTGGGAGTGAGAGTTATGTGATTGTTCGGGAGGTTCGGGAGGAAGTGCTGGGTTTGCTTTGTGGTACGGATTATAATCTCTGGGCTATCTGGGTGTGTTCCAGCTGGCTTGAGGAGTGGGAAATAGGGATTAAGGACGTTTAAGTAGATGAGTGGTGGGAGATAAAATGTGTATGAAAAAAGAAAAGGAGAAAGAATCTAACAAAAACAGGCAGCGGGAGGTATCATATCCGCTTCTATTCTCAGTACATCCGGTGCCAGTAAGGTATTTAAAGGCGGTCTGACGGTTTACACGTTGGAATCGAGAATAGCTTTTGGTAACTCCGCAGTTTCTTCATTTCGTAGTGTCATTGTTGAGCTTTCTCTTGTGTTTCCACATACTAATCTATCTACAAGCCGGTTGGACCCCAGAAACCATAGCTTCGTATAGTGTACCTACACCAGATGTCGTGGCGGGTATTGCTGAGAATGTGAGGGCAAAATTGGGAAGTACTTATTGTGTTTGTGAGAGTGGGACTGCGGGACCTGGTGCTAGTGGAGAGGGAAGGAATAGACAGCCGTATGTTTCTTTTTTTTTTTTGTTCTTTTTATATTTCCTTCTTTTCTGCTTGTATCCTCCTTGATTCTTCTGTCCCAGAGAAGTGCGGGGATAGGTGGTTGTATGATGGATAAACTAGAAGTGCATGATGGATGAAAGCTAATACATGATACAACATAAAGAGGATATGTAGCCCTAGCTATCGCAACGGAAAATGGAACGTATAAGAAAGATTTGAGTACGGGATTGGGTGGTGATAGAGAGGGGAACATGGTTGTATTTGCAAAAGAGGCATTGTCATTTTTGAGAGATGTTTTGAAGGGTGATGCGAAGCTTTAAGTTGGGGTTTGATGAGTGAGGGAGAAAGTGGCATATCAGAGTTTCGCTGAACAAAATTTGGCTGGGACTGATAGTAAAAATCAAATGAGATATGGAAGATGTCCTAAGATTCAAATTGCCCAGTTGCTCGTCCATGTATATGAACCATCCATTCATTTCATCTTCCTCATTTTCGTCGCACCCTGCTTCCCATTCTATCCAAAATCCCCTCTTTCCTACATTTCCCTCATCTCCGCCTCCCCCTCATTATCTCCCCCTCAACTACAAAGAAACAAATTTGGCTCCCTCCAAGGACCATCCATCCCACCATCCACATTCTCCTCCGCAGCCAAGCTAACTCCACATCCCCATCCCCTCTCCATCTCATTTCCCCTACCAAACCCATCACTCTCACACCCACTCCCCAACACCATCTCCTCCCTCTTCTCTCTCCTTTCCAATAGTGTAAACCCCGTCTCACAATCCCCACCCCCATCTCTCTCCCTCTGCTCCTCAACCCCCCTCATCCCCTTACATTTCTCCCCCATCCAATTCCCCTTAGACCTGCGCGTCCACAATAACTCCACCCTCTCCTTCCTCCCCACAGCACCAAACCCATATCCCAGAAACGAACCGGCGAGAAATATAAATATAATAAACACCGTGAGAGAGGTATCGCTTCTTCGCGGTTTATAAGCTGTACACGCGGATGTATGTTCATAGATATTTTCATTTATGAGTGTTCCATTTACAAAGAGCGAGGTACCGGTTATGAGAAGAGATGTGTTGTTTAGGAGAATAGATATATTGGTGGGATCCATGGTTTGTTGAAGTAGGTAAGATGTCAATCTTATGATTGTCTTTTGTGTGTAGAAATGAAGAGTGTCGATTTGATGGGGTGGAGGAGAGGGTTCTTGTCAGGTCGTACAGTGAGTGTATAATGAATCCGATGAGTCCTCGCCTGGATACTCAACGAAAACGAAAGAAGCTGACTTTATAACATTTTTCTCTTCAAAATCTGAGACAGCATGAAGAGATCTAGACCGGTGACTAGTAGCGTACAGTAGCGTACCTGGTACTTGGTACGCCAATGCCACGAGTAGTCAATCGTACGAGGCAAAAAGAAAAAGAAAGTTTTTTTAAAAGAAAAGATAAGGAAACATGATTTCTTATTGTAAAGTTAAAAATCTCCCAACCTCGTCGTAAATGTTATGGCTGGAAGAGGCGAGAGGTGCGACTTCCTCGCTTGCGCGTCGTCTATTCTTTAATGGTGTCCCAGTTGGGAATAATTACATTGTCTGGATCGCTATGAATCGTTGAAAGCTTTACTACACGCTAGGTAGCTGAGTTCAGCTTCACTTGTCAGTTGTATATCTCACATATCATATTCTCTCGTAACATTAACATTGACATTTCGGTGCTCAAACTATTGGATATGGATTACTAGACTCCCAGAGGTAAAATTTACTTTCCTGTAAAATGGGCCGGTTCTCAAAGTTAACCTAACATTCTACATGTCTATCTGAATCAAACACCAAAGCAAAATTGGCCAAACATCATTACTAGGTATTTTGTCCCAACCACACGATGGGTCGACGACGTTGACGGTGGTGACAGACTTTATATACCCACGTAAATATGTAGAATGCAGAGAAGAACAAAGAATCGCACGAGATCAAAGGTGTGAGAGGCACAAAACTTTCGTTCCTTCTTCAAAAACTTCTTATAAACGATACGTATGTACTAAACTCTACATACGACCCGTGGTAATTGATACCACAAACCCATATATCCATAACCTAATCCTACGAACCATTGTTGAGTGTTTTGTTCTGTAAAGCCGGGCTCCCATTCCATTCCCATAACTCCGCTGATCGTTTGCCCGTATTTAATCTCGTGGCGACCTTGTAACCCAATAGGTGATTGTAGCCATGAACACCTAACAAAAATCCAATCTTATTGTGTAGATTGTGATGTCGTGTAATGAACGCCAACCCGATACCCCAAATATTCAATCCTGCGATGGATTGTACCTCAATGTCTCTTGAACCGACGAGAGTGACGTCCCTCTTCATTCATCATCTTTCCTTCAAACCATCAAAGATAAAGCTCGCTCAACCACCTTGGACATTTACGAGCCCTTTACATACACCATAACTACAACATGCGCTTGGATCTAAGGTTCCTCTGAGTACAAGATCTCTTGTTGCCTAGTTATCCATGTTAGTTTTGAATTATCAATATGGGGAATATGTGGGGACGAGAGAGATTGTGAAGTAGATAAGAAGGATGATGAGGAGGAACTTACGTCGCTGCAAGGCATTGGCGTGGCTGTGACGAGTGAAAAGGTACCGAGTACAGCAGCTGTCACGAAGAGAAAGGTCGACGAGAGTTGCATTTTGAGGTCTGAAGTCGAAGACCCGTATATGAGAGGATTGATATGAATATATGCTCGAGATATTATAGAAAAGTATCCGTGGTAGGTGAATAGTCCGTATGTTTTCAGATTATCAGATGTTTCAACCGCGTCGAGCAAAGAACGAAACGAAATCCGGATATAAGATTTTGAAATGAAGTTGAGATATACCAAGACGAAAACCCCCCAAAAGCGGATGTCTCTTATACCTATACTCTTCCCCTCCCTCAACAAAACAAAGAAAGAGTCGTACGGATAATCTCCCAAGTAAATCGTTACCAATCTAGACTTTACCCCACAAAGATGTAACCAAAGGCACTGGCCCTCCGCGAAAAAAATGCTCAGGACTCAGACGAAGATGAAACGGCTTCACAGATAGACCTGCAGCAAAGCGGGGACGGTAAATGCAACTGAATGGATAAGGCAGGTCAAAGATTGACTGCAAGATAAACGATTGAATATGATTTGATCCGTGAAGAAAGATATCGAACGTACGGAACTCCAGAAACGGAGATCGTCCATTCTTATACCTGCCACCTACCTATCCTATCTCACTCATCGTATCCCGATCTTCAAGACATCATGCTAGATAGTAGTTGACAGACCGTAACCGGGCCACCCACGTCAAACCCTGTCGTTCCCGCGCGGGTCCACCATGCAAAGCCTTTGTATAACTTTGTACATAGCCCAATTGGATAAATGAGTGAGGTCAGTCTGCTCTTCAGGCTGTTTTCGGCGTTTCTTTCAGTTTGGATTGTGAACTGACTGGGAACACGAACCAGTTTTTTCTTAGCAGACGGACGATCCGAACGAGTGCATAGTCAGTCTGTGTGGCTGAAGTATGGAATTTTTGCTCAGGTTTGAAGCCACAGCCGAAAAGATTCGATTGGTTGATTGGGATGATATAAATAGAGTGGTGGCTGAAGATGTCTGTTTGCGGTGAATTTTCGACGGGAAAATAATGGCCGAACCATTCATTTGAATTTGCTGATCAAGATGATATGACCTCATCTGCAATAATATGAGTGATGTGCAATTGGTATGTATGCTGGCATCGGTTGGTTTGAATACCCACCTACCTCGATACATTGATTACTGTACAGGTACATGAATGAAATACGAGCATCTAGTGCATTTTCAAGATGTTGATAGCGCACGAATAAAGGAGAAAATTGAAATTTTTTTAAATATTTAACTTTAGACTTAACTTTAGCATTAGAGTCTAACCTGAAGCCGGAGAAACTTTGACTGTCTGTTCCGCTTGTATACTACAGTAGTTCCCTTTTTCTTGGGTTCATTAATAGATAGAAGAAAGTCTTCACATCTTCACATCTTCGCATATCCATTGGTACACGCTCCAGAACATCACAATGTCATTTTCACACATATAGAATGTTCTCGTATCGCCATAGTCACCTTCTCGTATCTTGCTGTCTTGTCTTGAAAAATTCAATAGTACTGTCAGCTCTCGGCTAGCTGCGTCGCTGGGTATTAGCATGAAGTGATTGACAGGAGAATGCCCACATTGACTCGTAGCCCCCCACGCCACACATATTACTAAAGACAATAGTAGCCCGCTGTTAACTTCATACAGTAAAGTATAGGGATCTGGAATTCCGACTTTGCTTTGTCTTTAGGGGTGGAGAACTTTTCACCTCGGGATCAATTTACTAAGTAAGTTTAACACATAAAGGGTCTGTTTCTACGTCAGGGGGATCAGGCCGGGCTTGTTCACATCGATAATTCGAGTATCTTCCTCGGTTGTTCTGTGAAATATACTTTCAATTAAGTTTCAAGAAAATCAAAAGCCAATCATTCTTTCAACCCCTTCAAATACGTCTGTTTCACGTGTGATTGATTTACCGTCCAAATCTCTGCAACATTCTAGCAAAGATTCCAGCAATCAAGTTCGGCTTTCATTTCACCGACATAGGGAGGATTACCCGGATCATGTGATACTAGTCAAGTCAAGCACCGATCAACTAACACCTTTTTATCGTTAGGAGGGATTGGTCAATTGAGATTGGTCAATTGAGATTGGTCAATTGAGATTGGTCAATTGAGATTGGTCAATTGAGAAAGGAGATCATTCTGAGTCTAATCGTCACTTTTTCGACAGAGCGTAAAGAGAAGAGGAACGCTCAGAATGACCCCATCATCAAATCCTCAATTCGATTCGAGAAAGCTCTCTCTCCCTTTTCAGATATTGGATGACTTTCATGATCTAGCAGGCAAAAGATGTAGAACATGCCTACCTACCTACCTACCTACCTACACATACACAGCTTCATACACACCACCTCACAACATCCCCATGGTTCCCATCTCCTTCTTGAACTCTAAAATTTCACATCCACTCACATAAACCTCTCCATCAAAACAAAACACAACCCCCCCAACTTCCCCAAATACAACCTCCCACATGATCCCATCCCATCTCATCCGGTCAATCATCCAAAGTATCTCATCCCATCCATCAGACGACATCACTCCGGCTCTCTGCATATACTGAAACATGCATGCATTCTATCCCCATCTAATTCTCCATCCAATCCTTTCATCCAATCCCCTCCTCTCCCATCTGCACACACAATCAAATCAAATCCAAATCCCCACAGCTGAAAACATATTTCACGTGTACATCCATGGATTCCCTTCGTGTTTCACCATCTCCATCATTACCGCTCCGAGCATGAGATGATAGGACATGGTAAGATAACGAACATTAAGAGCGGAGAAGTCCCCTGAAGATCTGACGATCTGTCGATCAGGATAAACTTCAGATCAAGTAGTCTGACAAGAAACATGATTCATTCTTCAAGTATTCCAAAAGATTCATTTATTCTGCAACATATGCTTAATAAAGTTTGAAATTCCATGTCAAATGATATGTCTAAAACGTATTGCCATGTATATAATTTTTTTTAAAGCCGTTACTATAGTGTCCGTATCCCTTTTCCATCCATAACTTTTCCATATATCATAATTTTCGTAACTATCCCATTCATCTATATCTATCCCATCTCTCAGTCCTCTTCTTCCAAGTCCTCCCTATCTACCAAACTTCCTCAGCTCCCACCATCTCAGCACGGGGTACACCAATCCGGCCCAAGCGAACCCAACGTAGTTACCCATATCACCCCCCTCACTCCCTACCATTTTCGCAAGCGGTCCGATAAAGTAATATTGACTCATACACAAAATGGCTCCTACCCATCCTATACAAAACGCCACCAATGCCGCAATTCCCAGCGGCATTTTCTCTTGTTTATGCCAGTCACTCCATAGAAACGTAGGATTCTTACGACGTCTGAATATGAATTCTTCTTCCAATGTAATGACAATCCAGAGTACAACCCAATATCCCATCAAGGATAGAAAATTGGTAAAAATCTCAGAGAGATCATTACGTCCTGCAAGTGCGCAGACGGTAAATACTACCACTCCAAATGTATTCCACAAGAATCTCGGAACCATGGCTGGATAACGGCCTAGAATTTGAAAATCAATACCACAAGAATAGGTAGGCGGTACCATATTGGCGATTAAGCCCAACGCAGCAACCACAGAGCAAAATTTGCCAAATCCACCTAGACTTTCAAAACCAGCTACTATAAGAGCACCTGTACCTGCACCTGCCGCTTCCCAAGAAGGGTTATTGGCGATACCAGATGCGAGACCGGCTCCTATGACAAAAGTGAGTGTGAAGGAGAGAGAGAGACCGAGTAGTGTTGCTGCGAAAACTTTCCACCGAGAAGCAATCTTTGGATCGCAGTAGACGAAGAAATCAGCTGCTATAGGGGCATATGTGACTGCGGCGCTAAGACAAATGGAGAAGAATGAAAGTCGGTTCCCGGCAAGCGTTGCGCCTTCAACTGTAGGTTTACTATGGAGGTCAAATTTCGGTCCTGCAGTTCCTGCTAAAATCAGGAGAACGAATGTTTGAGGAATCCAGGCAAATCTCTCGTAGTGATGAAATATCTTGATGCCGAATGTTGTGACCGAGAAAGTCAAGATAGCTGAAACGACTATTCCGACTTCCACTGAAAGGCTACCATTTGGTGATACAGCAGACAACATCTGACCAGCTACTACGGCATCAATCATAGAATATCCTAATAAGATTACCACATTCAATATCACACAGATCTTTACTGGCCACCATCCCATTGTGAATCGAGCGCATATCTAGATACTCGGTTAGCCAATTTTCACCTCAGGGGCCGAAAAATCTCAATGTTCAAGTGGCAAAATCAATGACCACACATAAAAACTCCAACCAGCCATAGAACACATGAACATCAATGGCAATAAGGGAGCCACCTACCAATGTTCTATTTCCACTCCAAGGCCCCCAACCTGCCGTATATGCCACCGGTAAAATTCCCACCACTGCCCCGAAAACACTACAAAGCGTCGCATCCAAAAAGCCCAGCCCATAAACACTAGCCCCAATGCTCGCTAAGGTAATATTTTGCGGCGCAGTGTTGATCGAAAACCATAGCACGACAATTTGTAGGAACGATAGAGTAGATTTGGTAGTTTGCTCAGCGGGGAGTACACGATGAATACCCCGCGCTTCCAGACCAAGAAGATTTTCAATTCGTGCAGTGAAAGTAAAGAAACGGTTTTGGGGGCGAGAGATCGCAGAATCTGTAATATCGCGCGTGGGGGATATCGAGGGCGAAAGAGCGAGAGGGTCATGAGGGGATGGGAGACCGCTTGAGGGACCTTTCTCTACATCGTGGGAGGGATCCGAGGAAGCTATTTGCTCGTTTGGAGTCATTCTATTGATGCGATTGTCAAATTAGCGATTGTCTCTTTTGCCTTTGCTTCCGCAGATTTACAACGTAAGAGTCGAAGGAACGAATTCTCAATTGGAAGTATAGAGATAATATAGGAAGAGGATATGCGTGAGAGGAGCATTAGATTCATCGGTACACAAATCTCGTAGCACCCTCATTTAGAATTCCCCATCCACCACATCCATCCAATTGGGCCCAGATCGCAAAAGTATCCAAGGAAAACGGTTTTGACCTACCTTTCTATATGTATATTGTGCAACTCAATCTCATACACTTCATATTAAAACATTAAACAGTAAGACCGTGAGACTGTAAGACAGACCCGTTGAACACAAATTGAAACAACAACAGAAGAAGTTCGTGTCTTACAATATTGAAACGAAAAGAACTTTTGAAAAACTAAACAACGAAAGAAAAGTCAAAAGAAGGTGCTATTATATTATTCATTTGTATGACTCTTTTGGAAGGTCCAGAATTGATTGGAAAGGCGTACTCCGCTCTAGCTTCGTCCCTTGAAATTTTCATGAATTATCATATCCTAACGGTAAGCTGCGTGGGGCAATTATGCTTATCGGTTGCAGGGATGTCTCGGAATTTCTTTATCTTATCCGAAGCTGCGGGGATGGTTTTTTTTTTTGACTTGTGGTTTGGAAAGTGTTCGCGATCATATCTGATCTGATAATTATTGAAAAATTGGGGACTGAGAATGCATAGAACGAGATCGGGGTAGAGGATACATCTTGCTCTATGGTACTCTCATCTCATGCTGTGTTCAAGTATTTCTGTGTTCGTCAACTTCATCCCATCATTTCTTCGTCTCTTCTGAACGAGGGGAGATGAGAGGGCGAATACGTGCAGCATCCTATGAGGTGCAGCTGTAAACTCGAAGATGAGCTCCTATTTTGCGGATGAGGTTTGTTTTCAGATATGAAATGAATCCACATATCATCCCATTACATTAGATTGAACTACTTGATCTACACACCATTCTTCTATTTCCAAAGATGTGTATCGGACAATCCAATATACCTAACATAATATCAAACGCTCTTCTTGAAGTCTCATCATCAAGAAAAACATTTCGTGACCAACATGAAGTCAATTCAACAGATTGGAATCCCGCAATCCAAACAACACATCGTCCCTCAATAAACTTTCATGCAGCTTCCATCCCGACTCCTGTTGTCCTTGCAACCCGAAACACGTTCTCGTATTTCCAGCATCTTGTATACATGTATACATAAATATCTAGTTCACGGCTTCCAGCATCAAGTTCTCGAAGACGGCAAACACTTAACTACCTACCTCTAATTGTCTCAATTCGTTCTCAGATTCAGGATTCGGGACGGAACGTTGCAGAAAAAAGTCTAATTTGTATTCACCCTTTTATTATTCAAATTCCCCAGGGTTATGGACCATTGCCACGAGAATTATTTCTGTTCAACAGAAAGCAGGAAAGAAAGAAAACAAAACGCCTCTAGATAACACCTTCCCAGCTCATCTCTTCACCGGGGTAAACCCAACCCTGAGCTCTGGTTTTTTCCAAAGCACCACCAATTTTGAATCCCTCTCCCAATCTAACTCCTTATTTTTCAATTCCCAGTCAAATTCCCAAGCCAATCTCGCCAAAACCACCCGCATTTCCATATACGCCAGATTAACTCCCAAACATGCTCTGGAACCCATAGAAAAGGGTTTACTCGCATCTTTGTTATCATTTTGATATCGAAGATCATAAAATGGGTGGGAAGAAGGTAGATATCTCTCGGGATGAAATTCATTGGCATCGGCGAAATATTCTTCGTTGTGGGTAGCAACGTAACCGGAGACGCAGACGACGGCGCCTTTGGGAACATAGTGACCATCGATCATGGCGCCCGGACACTCGCGTGGGAGACCCATTGGTACGGGTGGATAGATGCGAAGACCTTCTTCGATTACGGCTGCGAGATATGGAAGGGCTGCTGTGGAATCGCTTGTAATATCATTTGAAGATGTGAATGCATTGCGGATCTCTTCTTTAAGACGTCGCAGTGTTTCGGGGCTGTTAAGAAGATAGTATGTTACTCCTATAAGAAAAGTGGCGGTGGTCTCCGAGCCGGCTACAATAAGCGTATTAGATTGCGCTAGAATAAATTCGCGAGTAATCTTTGGTCCATTTTCTTTTTCGCGTAGTAGATGAGAGAAGAAATCGTCTCGGTCATTGTTTCCTCGTTCCATACGTTGAGTTGCTTTTTGCATTGAATTTTGGAAATGTACCTTGCTCTTTTCTTTCAAGCCTTTAGGCATGAGAAATGTTGCAATCTTTTTGAAAAATGAGTTCATGAAAAATGGGAAGCGTCGAAAGATTTCCATGATAGCCATCAGATGGACGGTGCTGAGAATGAGACTGATCCACGGATGGCCTTCTCCAGATTTGACTGCATCGAATGATTCCCCAAAGGCAAGATCACCAATGATGTCAAAAGTTAACCAATTATACCACTGTGTTCTGTTAGTAGTGATTCACATACAAGACTGTTCTAACTTACTTTTGACAAGTTCAACCCCTTCTCGTCGTCCTTACGTTGATGTATCTGAGAAACGAACAAGTCCATATACTGTATCACCACTTCCTCTTGTAGCCGAAGCGCTTTAGCACTAAACGCATGAGCAAGAGATTTTCGGATTTCTCGATGAACAGCCGGATCTCTTGCTGAAACAATGCCGACGTTGGTTTCCGAACCAGTATTGTAAGCTTGCCCTTTGAGAAATAGGGCTTTGCCTTGCTTGACATGGCCGTGAATGTCTTGATTTGCTTGAGGAGATGCGAAGTCTCTGTTCTCGAGTTAGTAAAGTGGCATTTTGACATGCTAATCTGGTGAACTAACAAATCATTTGGTGCAAATCTGACAACTGGACCATATTTTTGATGCAAGCTGATCATAGTCTTGTGGTAATTTCCGGAAGTACTGCATTTCATTAGTTTTGAGCGTGGAACAACAGAATTTGTGAAGTTTACTTGTGCCAACATATCCAGCCATCTGTTATTGCAGCTAGCCTTGGGCCAGGAAATTTTGCAAGTGGATGGAAGTAAAGATTATATATCACTTTGTATGTGATGTAACAGGCAGTCTGTTCAAGTATTAGCCATCAATGCAAACAAGACGATCGATTTAACTTACTATAATTCCAGCAAAAAGTAACAAATGGGAGAATTTTCCAATTATATTATTTCCTTCTGTTGACATGGTAGGAGCCATCTTTGTTCTTCAATATATTCCGAATCTCCAGCAGGATTTTGAAGTTTTAAGTCGGGTTTCTGTTATCATATAACTTTGGCACCACTGAGGGGATTTGTTCTTAAATGGACGAGTTAACATTAGCATGCATCGGTACTTTGCTCGCATCGCAAACCACCGAAACGAAACGGCTAATTGTGTTTTCGTATGCCCAAATTTTAGGTGCGAGGACCCCCCACTATCCAACAAATTCTTAGATACGCGATGCGATCTTTCTCTAGCAAATCTGCCATTATTGGCCAAAGATAGAAGAAACCATTTTGCTCTGCACCTTTGCCTAGCAACGGTGTCTAGGAATCATAAAACGAGGTACATATTGCCAGCTTGCCAATTACTCTCATCCAATTACAAATGATAAGCCACAAAAATAGTGGGACAAAACTCTATCCGGAAAATCTCCGAGATGTCCGATAATCCGATTTGTTTGCACAGCAGTGGCACGGATGAGAAAAGGCTGTGTCGTATTCGCCATGTCGCATTCGCATCAGGACGCAAATGGTCGAGAAGAACCTCGTTTCATGATGAATGGTATATTTGAACAACAGGTAGTTCTAAAGAATATCTGCAAATCACAACTTCCAAGGAGCAATGGGATGAAGATCTTCGAGAGATGATTCTGATTCCTTTCGCTCTTGAATGTTCAGTGGAAGTTGCGCAAATTGGTTAATCATTGGCTGTTTCGTCCTGTCTGTGTTAAAAGTTCACGCTCTATCGACACTTGCTTATCATTAATTTACTGGACCTATTTGCAGTCTTGCATATTCCCGATTGCAGGTGTTCCTTCATGGTTGAACTCCACAGACTTACTCAATTCCAAGCTCACTGGCAGAGATGTTTCGAAAGCTAGAAGAACTGCCACACAGTTATTCTTAGCATGATCTAGAAATATATGGTGATTAAAACTCTCCTGATATTTACGAGACTACTAACCCTGAGGTCAAGAGTTACTCTAGCTATCTCCATTTTCAGATAAGTAATTGGAGAACTTCTGATTTAAAACAGTATTTTGAATGGCCACGAAGTCTCTGAAAGTCACCCCGGAGCAATATTGTGTGTATTTACTCGTTCCGTGAGGGACCTCGATAATACCATCTATGGATTTCATCACCCTGTCGATGAGCCATACTTCTATTCTTCTCAAGTATCGTCAGCGACACCTGATGATCACCTCCTCTGACAGCAGGTTTTGCTTGAACATTCGACATTAGGTATCGCAGAATGCTATAGCAAGGTGTTGAAACGAAAACCAGTTGACTGGCATGAAGATGGTATTGAAAAGGCGGACAAGGGAGGTTCTACGAGCGTGGAAAGATTGATTACCTCATTTCTTATAGATTCTATTGAGATTGGTGAGGATGTATCATACTTCGTCGTACTCTGTGTTGGGGGTGTATGTACAAATCATTCTCGCCATTTTCAGGTTATCTTCCATTCTTGATATTTTCTCATTCATTGAAATCATCTCAACGATGATATCCATGTTTGTGACTACCTCTATTATCTAAAATCTCGCAAACACTCAACAATAAATCATGAGCGCTACGGATTGGCAACTTCACGCCCCAATCAAACTGCTTCTAAATATATGTTTGATCGAAATATTTACCTGGGATCTTGAATAAAAGCAGGAAACAAAAGAAAGATAGAGCGGAACGTTTGGACAACCCGGTTTTTGATCAGGTCACAATTTCCACCTCAAACATGAAGAAAGACTTCATTATCACGATGGACCGGGAGAAATTTGATTGGTCAATTAACAAGACAAACTACTTGCTTCCACTCTCATAATTTACAAGCGACATCGTCCTCGCCTCGTCGCCCTATCTCTACCACCGAGGCACTTCCTTATAGAAGGCATACCACAACGATGCAGCGGGAATAGATGTGGCATGGAACAGAATGACGAGAAGAGCAAAATTGGTAATATCAATTGCGAATTTCGTGAATTTCTTTTATCGTCGAATGATTCAACCCCAAATTACTTTGAGGTACTTCCATTGCAAAGGGAATTTCAAACGAAGAAATCAATACTGAGATAAAGATGTGCCGATAGAAAGATAAAAGCGCCTGTCCGAACGATGGGAAATCGTAAATCAAGGCCAATGAATGCCAGATCGTTTGTCGCGAAGATACTAGGTATTGAGAAAACTCGAAACAAGTACGAAAAATATTGTGACAAGTGTCGATAAATGATAGACATAAGGAACCCAATGTCTATATATGTTCCTCTAAAAAGGCACAAAACCAAGCATGTATCTTGCGTGGATGTGTTATATAAGAATCTCTGCGTGAAATATGAATTCATCGTTGCCACACTACCGGATCAGCTTCAGGGTAGATACCCACGATTTCATTTTGATGTGTGATCTATCGATACAATCACGTGGCACTACCCTGATGATGCGTTCTCAATCCACGACGAGTTTCAAAATCAGACAAAGCGCAGCCGTATCCAAACAGTCCACGGTGTAATCGGATCCGAACATTGAAGCATAATTCTAGTGACCCACTAAGGTTATTTTAAGATTTAAGCTTTCACAGGTTGTAGATTAAGCGCGTGGATATTATGCTTTCAAAGTCTAGAAGGGAGAAGAGAATGGACCCCATTCTTCTTCGCGACCCGAAAGACAGGAGGTCGTTCATCTGAGTTATTAGCCTATAGCTAGTAGTTATTCCATCACTAATTGAAAGCTGTAACTATTCTCATCTCAATTTTCGTCATTTTTGACACCGAAACGGCTTCCAAAGCCACTTTGAGTCCGAGAAAGTGTGTCTTAACTTCCGTGGTTCTGCTTCCCGCCCCTCTAGAAGCCCATTGCTGCTATTAGTACCCGGGGAACGGAGTATGAAGGTATCCGTAAAGACGAAGCTCCTGGTTTTTCGAGTGTTGGTTCCCTTCTAAGCCGAGATTTGAAGCTAATGTCGTATCTTCCTGTGCCTTTCATTGTCATCCTTCCAATTACCCCTATTCATTTATCGTTGGCAATATTGGTTGGACTGGAGGGTCGTATTGTTTGTGATGTTGTCAGACCATTAGTGATCTGTAGGTATGCGATTGAGCAAACAAGAACCGGATAGATGCATCAAAAAATCTACATAGTAGACTTTGAAAGATCCTTGAATCAGATCATTGGTGCAAGGCTTAGTAAAGAAGGCGTATGTAAGCTTTGCCAAGATTCGTCTAAAAGCTTAACTTTGTGGCTTTTCCTGGCTTATTCTTTTTCTTCTAGCTGACGCGGCCTAGCAAGGGGTAATTGAGCACACGACTCGAGGAGAGGGATGTGGATTAATTCGTGGTGTCTCTTTCTAGGATGAACTCCCGTTTTTCCAAACACTTGGTGGGAGAAAAAGTAAACGGTAGATGAAAATAGCTTCGGATTTCTTGATCCAGGGGCTGAGGGGGGTCAGTCGTCTGGCACATTGAATACCCCAGCCAACCAACTCTCTTCTGTGACCTCCTTGGTTTTACCACTGCAGGCTTGAAAGTACAGCACCGACATGACAACATCATCAGATGGCGGCTAATCGAGCTCAACCTTGTTGATTTCACGGATACCGGATGCATCCACCCAGCTTTTCCCCAGGTATGAACTCTTTTCAGTAATGATTAACATTCTCTTTTCTTCGCCTTGCATTCTTTCTCCGTCCCTCAAACGTCGGCAAAATACGTTCTCTTGGTATTCCAAGAAAAGTGACGGTATACCACACCATTCTAACCATCCTCACCCTAGATCAATCTGAAACCTCTGGGAATTCTCAAAGAGAGATGTGAGCAGAAGAATTAAAGTTAGGTCCAAAGCGTCGTAATCTATGTGTAGCAAGCCGTATGCTGCTTACGCACTGTAGTGAACTGAGCTTTTTGATCTGAGTGGTGCATTGCGAGATGTTGATATCGAATCCCAACCATTTGACGACCTATGGAAAATCTCGAGATAGGATTCATCAGGTGCAGGACTTTTGCTTCTAGATCTTGATTTAACCTTTTCACTTCCAAACAGAAGCAAGCGCTAATTGATGCCAGCTTCTCATATCCCTCAAATCCCTCATCTACTAATAATAAGAATTTTAGCTTGGTACCGTGCGGTAAATACATCTTAGAGCATGATTTTGGGGGGCTGATGCTTGAACCCACGACGACTTTCTGATGCATCCAATAATCACTCAATATTTCTCTTTCCCTCCAACTTTAATTCTTTCTAAGCGGCGAATTGAACAAAAATACATGCTTCCTCCTCACGCCGCCTTAATTTCTCAATATCTTTACATTCATAGCTCCATAAGTTGTTTGCTTGATCACATTTTATAGAAATTTAGTAAGATCGGTCTCCACTCAATTGCTTCTTGGGATATATCCCTTGTCTTGGGTGACGAGTACCAAAGGAGTACTTGATCGTGTGCTTCCCCACGTCTCTTTTTATTTTCCTTGAATCAATACTATTTCACTTCATTCTCCATTGCATTTCAATCTTTACATTTTCCGTATTTTGCATTGGTACTCTCTATCTCTCTCCATCTTCCCCTCTCTCTTGTCCCTCTTTGCTTTACATATAACGGCAGCATTCGAATTCCCTCTCTCCATATACCTATACAATTGAGAAGTCGATCATACATCTCTTGGCACAATTTAGAAAAGCCGCGCCAAGACGGTTGTTCAACCCTGTCGAAATTGCTTTCTTGTAAGCTGATCATAATATCGCGACAATCGAAAATGCGCTTTTCGTGGATCATCACTTTACCCGGACTGTTGTCCGTTGTGTCGGCGCTGGCAATTCAAAAACGAGATGCCGACTTTTACAGTGTGCGCACAAAGTTACACAAGGACATGAGCGGAAGGAGAGGTGATCCAAGCGGGAAATATTTTCGTAAGTTCTTGTTTTCTTCTCAAAGAGAGTTTATTGTGGCGGAACTTGCGACTATGAACCTGTCCGAATTGTCCGGTCCATGATTATTGGAGTTTATGTTTAATTGAAACCTAGCTAACGGAATTGCTTCCTAACAGATGAGAGCGTGTACGTATTTTTACCATCCAATTAAAATTCGAAAATCAGGCGTTTTCGAAGTAAATTTGGAATTCAATGCTAACATGGCGAGGTCAATAGCTTCCATCCACATTACGATGGCCGGTATGTAATTTCTATGGGTAGATTCTTGCTACGGTACACAGTGACGGAACCTAACATAATTCGTACAGATTCGCAGACAAGCAATTGGGATACAGAGAACGCAGACAAGCACTTTCGAACCTCATTCAAACCTACCTAGCTACTTTTTCAGATATTGGAGTGGAAACATGGCTCATGCATGGTACTTTACTCGGCTGGTGGTGGAATCGTAAGGTAGGGGCGACACTGCAAATGCTCCGATCTCTTCACAAAATCTCACAATTTTTAGATTTTACCTTGGGATTCCGACTCCGATGTCCAAGTTTCCGAAGCTTCGATGCACTTTCTAGCCTCTTACTACAACATGACAGTCTTCCACTACAAAACTCCCCGCATTCCAGAAGGCCGAGATTATATGCTAGAGATCAATCCTCACTATATCAATAGGGAGCAATCGGACAAATTGAACGTCATTGATGCACGATGGGTCGATACTACGAGTGGCTTATTCATTGACATCACAACTGCCAGATATAATTATACACATCCTGCCGGAGAGGGAATGATGAGCTGCAAGGATGGTCATGAATATAGGGTAATTATTTTGGGAGCATGGTTGGCTGGATTGCGCTAATAATCGTAGGATACTTACATCTTTCCGTTGCGAGACACATTCTTCGAGGGAGCTCCAGCCAAAATCCCGTTCGCCTACAAAGAAATTTTGGAGGCAGAATATCATGAGAAATCATTGACTTTGACTGAATTTGAAGGGTATGTTCAATGAATTTAAGATTTTCACCCTGGAATGTCTCTGCTAACTTAGCCATAAGCCACCACTTCGACGATGATAAAATGGAATGGATTCCCGTGAAGCAAGATATTCAAGTACCAATGGAACCACAAAAGGCAGCTCAGCCACCGCCAAAGACGGATGCACAAAAGGCGGAGGAGGCGAAGCAAGCCGCTGAAAATGCGAAGAAACTGGAAGAGGCCAAGAAGTTAGCAGAAGCACAAAAAGCTACAGAGGAAGCTAAGGAAAAAGCGAAGCAGAAAGCCGCACAGGAAGCTCAACAAGATGATACACCACCCGTAAGCAAACAACCAATCAAAGAAGAACAGCCAAAATCACAATCCCATGATGCATCCGAACCTCCGCCAGCTCAGCGAGCCGTAGAGAAGAAGATATTTACCGCAGCTGAGAAAAAGGCCAATAAAGTACAAAAAGCTGAAGACAAACGTAAACAGGACGAACAAAAAGCCGCCGATGCGAGACAGAAAAACGAGGAGAATATGAAGGGAGAAGTTAAGAAGACCGAAGGTTCCGCGCCGGTCTCCTAATCTTTTTATCTTTCCAAACGGTCGATACAACCTGTCACTTCACGGCATTCGAGCTCCATCGAACGATTTCGTTATTTCTGGCACTGTAAAGAGCCAATTTTTACGAATCTATAGGATAATCGTTTGCTGCCTTTTATTTTCCTTTCCTTACATTCGCTAAGCGATTTTACTTTCTTCGCTACTATTTCTTCATTACATCATATGATATTCTTCTTCAATAGTTCCACCACAATGTGGACCATTGAATTGGAAGACGACGGAGTTCTGGATTCGGATGATTACGAAAAGAAACAACAGTATATGGAAAACATGGCGCGCCAAAGCTAGGGCATTTGCATATAGTCGGGATTTGATTTGGCGTTTTATTCCCCTCCCAGATATGGGAAAGTATTGTATAGGATGGAGTATTTGACTGAAAATTATAATGGTGGCGCAAGGAGTTGGATGCCATTGAGTACGATTAGTCGGATAGATCTTACTATGAGAGTTGGAGACGTTAGTTGGTCCAATATCACATCTGCTAGAATTGGAATAATTTCTCAAGCTTAGACCTTCCTCGTACTAGAACTCCTTTCTCGTTTTTCTGATCAAATCTATAATTGGTGGAGGGCAATGAAAGTATCGCCTGGATTGGATTGTGCTGTCTCTTTTTATTGTACTCTAGTGGCGGACCCCGAAGCATGTCCTCGAATGATCTGCAAACGTATAAGGCTGCAAGCGCAAGCTTAAACCCCTCATCGAGATTGGCATCCGAACCGAACCGAATACAGATAAATCAAGGGCTATCAAACACTTCGGTACATCGGATATGCGGGCAAACACCTACCCATTTTGTTGTGTAGTAATCATCTCCGGAAATATGTGTTTTCAAGTGGCTAGTTAATATATCATCAGAATATATCACATGCAAATGCAAAGCTTTGAAGAAAAATTATCAAGTGAAGTAGAAGATCTCCACTATGATTTTAGGCGTTGTCTCTCTATGTGGATCCCTCGCATATGTCTTGACTCGCTGGTCCGCTAGGTTCTTGATAGAAACAGGGATAGCTATCGGAAAACCTGCCTAGGCGGAAAAAAATTGAGGAGGAAAAAAAGACCCTTCAAGGTCGATAAGGTGTTTTTGTACCCAAAACTCCCTGCGGCGGGGAAATTTTCAGGCTTATCGATGATGTTGATTTTTTCAAAATTATGGGGTTGTGGGTTGCTACATGAAATGGTTGAATTGTATGAGCTGTTGCCCAACTTATCTTTGTCTTTATCTTCGAGGGCCAAGTACTCGTTGCAAACTTGAATATTCTCTTTCGCAGTTTATTTGATACCAATTAAAATTTTGGTGTTGTTTTCTCTTCAGCCATGTCTCGTAAGTTCTACCCCTTCATCCTCACTAACGCAGAAATTTCTGTAGTTCTATAAGAAAATTTCAGAGCTAATAGTTTTTACAATATCAGCTTCAAATGGCGAAGGATCTACCAGCCAACCCAACACACTTCCGATTCCCGAACGAAGAAATTCCCAATATGAAGATCCGAACGGTACGGGTTTAGGTGCGGGAATTGGATCACAACCTCGTCGCCGCTCAAATGTATCTGGACGTTTAGCCTTTCGCGATAGTATGCGCGCGGAGGATCTGGAGAGTTTGACGAGGACAGCCAGTGTTATTAGTGGACATCAGGATGCGTATCTTGATGCGCATGGGAAATCTTCGAGAGAGGGCGATTCTGGGAAAGAAAAGGATAATACCACAATATCTTTTCCCAAAGCTGCAAAACCGGGCCCTATCAGTACGATCAGAGAATTACCCAGCGAATTTAATACACCATATTCGACTCGTCCGCCTTCGCCTTCTTCGGCGGTTAACACGCCGGGTGTTTCGCATCGAAATGGCCAGGGACTTGCAAATGGAAGCGGGAGTGCCACTCCTCGCGAATATTTCGAGCTGCAAGTCGAAGAACCATCGAGGAATTTGCCGGAAACTTCATACCCGGATATCGGCAGCGTAAAAAGTCTCCGCGGTGCACTCATTCTTCTCACAACATGCGGAGCACAACTTATGGATAATGTTTTCATGACTGGAGTCAACATCAGTTTACCCGCCATCCAGAAAGAATTCGGAGCGAAAGCAAGTGATTTACAATGGTTGATTAGTGCGTACACATTAACTTTTGGAGGATTCCTATTGTTAGCTGGTGTACTGAGTGATCGATTCGGACGCAAACTTATTTTTTTCATTGGGATGCTTTGGATTTCCATCTGGACAATTGCGAATGGTTTTGCGACGTCGTTTATCCAACTTGCTATTTTCCGCGCACTGCAGGGAATCGGAGCCGCGATGACGGTTCCTTCTGCGGTGGGAATTATTTCTTCGTATTTTGTGGCTAAAGACCGTACAATTGCGTTATCGTTCTTTGCGGCTTCGGGAGCGGTAGGATTCTGCGCGGGACTGATTTTTGGAGGCTTCTTGACGGGGAGTTTGGGGTGGAGATATCTCTTTTATGTTTCTGCTGCGTTGACGGGAAGTTTGGGAGTACTGGGCCAGTTTATTCTGCCGAAGGATCGGTTGGAGGGACAGGAGAAACCGAGCTTGGATTTGTTGGGGGCGGGATTGTCGACTGGAGGACTTATCCTGCTTTCGTTTGTTTTGTCGAGTGGAGGGGTGTATGGATGGAGTAAGGCTTTCATCATCGTTTTGTTGATTTTGTCGGTGGCTGTTTTGGGGATTTTCGTCTATGTGGAGAAGAGAGCTTCACATCCGATTATGCCGCTTTCGCTTTGGAAAATACAAAATTTTGCTGCGTTGTGGATTTCGGGTTTTGGTATGTTTGGATTTTTCCTTTTATCTCTTCTTTCCCCTCTCTCCTACCTCTCTTATAAAGTGCAATTTTACATACTAACACAAACCCCAAAGTATGCTACGGCGGCTACCAAACAGTCCTCTACTACATCGTTCTCATAGCACAAGAAGTCAACCGTCTCTCCCCCGGCACCACCGCCCTCTATTTCCTCCCTATGGGTGCCACAGGCTTCATATTCTCCATGTCCGTCGGCAAGATTCTCGAACGCTACAACACCAAATCCGTGCTTCTCATCGGCATGCTCATGATGATGGCATCACCCATCCCCGCCGCCCTGCTCACCTCCACCTCTACATCCTTCTGGTCACACGTCCTCCCTACTTCCCTCCTCGTCGTCGCAGCCGTCACAATCGTATACTGTTCCTGCACGATTCTCCTACTGAGCAGCGTACCGGTGAGCGTGAAGAGTCTCTGTGGAGGTATGATCAATACCGCGTTTCAGATTGGGAGCGGGGTCGGATTGGCGCTCGCTAGCGCGGTGGTGCAGGCGGTGGATATCGATAAGGGGAAGGGAAATCTAGAGCAATATAGTACGGGCTTGTGGTTTTGCGTCGCGTTTGGAGGGGTGGGGTTTGTGGCGAGTGCGTTTGGAGTGAGGAATTCCACGGCCGATGGGTTTGGTGGGAGGAGGGGCGGGGTCGAACAGGTTGCCATGCATTGAGGGAGTGCAGTGGGGGGAGGCGGCGAGGCGATTGAATTCAAACATGTGGACTGGGTCATGAAATTGTTGCGAGATATATGAAATTGCTGATAGATGGTATTTTTTGGTTATCACAGGTATATATTGGGATATGGATATCATATAATAATAAACATAACGAAGATAGACGATTTTCATATTTCACATTTCATAAATACATACATAGGTATAGGTAATGGACAATAAACACGAATTACGAATACTGGTAGATACTTACAGAGAGTGGATCAAACGCCTCAATAACTCCCAATTTGATGAAACAAATCTCTTTCTCAAATTTCAACTCGTTGAAGATGACGATGAAAATGTCAGGTGAATTGGACCGAATCAAATGCCGAATCATCAGGAAGACCTAAATTCAAGTGAGAAGTTTAGCCCAATCATTTTCGCTCTTGTACTGTAGTAAATTTGCTGGCGAAGTTTCGCTGTATATCTTTTAAACATGAACCGGGATATGGAAGTGCAAATGCATTAACTCGTGGTAGACTTTGTAAGATACCCACCCCTTGAGTACGCCAACAACATATCCACACGTCAAGACATGAGTCCAACTTTCAACGCATATAGAAGCACATGTCATCTTATCCTTGTAGTCAACAAATCATAGCTCTGGTCGAGTTTTCAATTATTCCATTTTTGTTACGCTATATCTCTATATTTCCAGGCGTGAAATACACACCGACACCATGCATTCCTATAATCCTATGCACAAAAAAAAAGGAGGGAAAAAATTAAATGCCGCTGGACCAAAACTCCAAGACCGTAAGATATATGTATAAAGGGAAAACCCCATTTATCCCGACCCCGAGAACCTTCCAATGCATATATAAATGCACGCACAATGTCCGAGTCCATACTCATATATTCATTAAGAAATACAGATACCCCTTCCGTCCAGCCATTGTGCCAGTAAGACAATGACCATAATTAAGCAATTAATTCATCCGTGTTTTCGTTTATATAAAATGAAGGTAAAATCCAATTTTTGCGCTGGACCCAAAAAAAGAGCGCCGCCGTGTAATATGTCCAATGATTCTCGTGTACTAATTATGGACAAGGATGAATACACAATGCTAAGTCAAAAACAAAGAAAATATAACAGGTGCACCTCGTGAGGTTCGTTCAATTTATGTACGTTTTGTTGTATAAAACAGTCGTTCGTCATGGAAAGGGTCTGAAAAGATTGCTTCGGGACCTATTTAGTTCATATAGATTCGATCGATGGCATCGATACAAAAGGAGGGTCGTTTCTTTTTCAGCTGAGAATGGTAGCAAGAATCGTAGGCTGTCGGTGTTTTGCCAGGTTTGAGTGAGTTGTAATACAAGGCTATTGGTTCGGGTGAAGGTTCGAAACTTGAAGATGAAATGATAAAATGAATGTTACAAACACGGACAATCATATCATTCGGGAGATTGGCCATCATGACGAGAATGATGTAATGTTTCAAGCCCAATCACCCCTCAAACTCGTCATCGCCATCTTCATCATCGCCACCTTCCATAGCTGTTCTTAAATCAATGACGCTTTTTCGAATTCTCTTTCCCAGTGTAATGGGACTCCTTGGATCAGCCAACGCTTGATACCTTTCATATTCTGTTGCTGGCATTTGCAACTCATCTTCATCCTCATCATCCTCGTTGGCATCATCAGTATTCCGAATAGCCTTTGGGGCCCGACGAGCTCGAGTACTGGGTTCACGAGGTGGAAGAATTCTTGCAAGTGGTCCTTTAGCCCTCTTGTTTATCTTGATTTTTGACGATGAAGCTGAAATAATAAGAGGCCCCTCGGAAGGTGCTGATAAGGATTTGGTAGGGCGACCTTTACGAGCCTTCTTAGTAGGGGAAGCACTTGGAGCTGTTGGCGCGTCAGAATTGACTTCAACTGTTCGCTTGCGCTTAGTTCGGGACGATGATGGTGAAATGATCGGATGTGCGGCCGGAGTTGCTTCCTTCTTGATGATTGGTTCATGTGACGGGCCCACTTCTTCATCCTCCTCAATCGTTGCCTGTTTTCCACGCGGCTTCCGTGCCTTTGGTAATTGAGAATTAGCGACAGGAGTTTCGCTCGATCTACTATTACGTTTTCCTCGTACAACTTTCTTGGGGGACTCTTGAATTGAGGTTGACTTTTCGACAGATGCTGCTGCACGATTTCGAGTAGCTGTTCGAGGTTCACGTGTTAGGGTCTGCTCATGGGTGGAAGAACGGTTGATTTGACGATTACCATAAGAAGAGATAGTTGACTGCGATGATGAGCTGTCGCGCCTTGAGTTGATCGCCTCAGTTGCTTCTGAATCCGAGTCATCATCGTGCTCGGTTGTTGGCAAGATTGCATTCTCTTCCTCAGTTTCCGCACTTGGTTCGATATTAGCTTCCTTCTTGACTCGACCACCGGGTTTTGCTGACTTGGCTGGTTGCTTCTTTGGTTTGATAACTTTAGCCTTTGGCTTGATAGGAGGTACGATTGCCGCAGGGGTCTCGGATACTGCTGTAGTAATTTGTTCTGCGGGGTTTATAACGTCAACAATAGCCACAGGAGCAGGAACGGGAAGCGGATGCTTCCGTGGCCTACCACCTGCATGCTTCTTTTTTACAACCGGTTCAACGGGTAATTCTTCGGCGATTTGATTGACAAGTAATTCGGCCGATTGCTGTAGTTGCTCTTGTTCGGCTGGTAGGAGATGTCGAGAAATATCTTCGTCCTTAATAGATTCATCTTCAAGTATCGTTTCATCTTCGCCAGATGCAAGCTGAACATCCTTGAGCTTTGACAGAGATTTTGGTGGCCTTCCAATGGGTTTTCCCGATGGAAAAGTTCTTCTGATGGGGGTTTGACTTCGGCTTTGCTTTCGGGGAGACTTTGATAACTCTCCAATAGCATCATCAAGAACTCGAACCTTGCGTTGTCGTTTTGCTGGTAAGCCGTCTGATTCATCCTCTGGTGTACTTTGATCGTACATTTTCCTCGTAGCCATCCGTTGAGCTCGACCACTTCTACCTTCACTCATATCTATTTCACCCACACCACGCTTTCTAGAGGCCGATGGGATTGGTTGCGCACCAATATGTTTTGGATGGGAAGAATATTCAAAGCCGTATACCTCTGCTTGCTTCATATCATCCCACTTTGTGGGATCTATCAGACGTCCTGCTTTTCTTTTCTCAGCTTCTATCTCTTCTTTAGTCAATTTGATCTCAGGTAGTGGCTCGTTGAGAAGTTTTAGCTTATTTGACTCTTTTAGTTCCTTTTGCTTAAGCTTTTGCTTCTCTTGTTCTCTAACGAAAGCTTGTCTTTGAAGTTTGGCTCTGAATTGTGGGTCCCGAAGACTTTCGAGACGTAGACGAAATTCATCATCTTCATCATACTGATTGATGAAAGCTGCCCAATCTGGAGTCTTTAATTTCAATTCCACTGCGTAATGTTTTGCAGTAGCTGCCAGGTCGTCTCTGTCCAATTGCTCTGCAAGTCTGTCTGCCTCTTCTAAAGCTTTCTCGGCCTCTTTTTCGGATTGAAGTCGTTCTTTCTCCTGGGATTCATATGCGTAAATTTCCTCGTCAATTGCATCAAACTCCCTTTGCCAGGCAGCTAAAACAGTCTATTGGAAGTGTTAATCTTGTTCTTCTACCCCACACAGTATGAAGCACGATATTAAATGTAACATCAGAAAGGAAATCAGGGGAAAACAAGTAGCGACGGTGACTTACTGTGCTCACAATCGCAGCTCTTTTGTACAGTTCATCATATGGCATTTCGCTAGGATTTTTAAGGTATTTTTCGAAGTGCTCCACCGGGGGAAGCTTGGGATATTTGAACTTAAGACCAATATCTGGATCATTGATATCTACATCATGTTCTTCATGGCCTTCGGCTTGATCATAGTAGTCGAATTCAGAATTTGGATCGATATATGGTTGAATCCGATCATGATCTTCTGGATCGAAATCTTCTTCGTCGGCGTCAGCGTCAGCGATGGCAATAGCAGGCTCTTGAGCTGCATTGTAGTCGAAATGCAAATCTGGTCTCGGCCCATCCTTATTGGATAAATATTTTGCTGAAGCATATACATTCTCAAGTGAAGTAGGAGGTGGTGATAGAGAACTACCTGAAGTAGTAATAGTTCCTACTGATTCCGCTGTGGATGGTCGACTGCATGCAGCCACGTGACTACGAAAGTCCTACATTTCATGAGCATCAAATGATTGACATGAAGGAGGAAGGATTTATAGAAAGATAGACTCACCATATCTGATAGTTCTGCAAATGTATTACTGCAATTGGGGCATGTTGGGGTTGAAGAAAATGATGTAAAAGAACTAGATGAAGTTTCTTGAGACTCGGAAGAACCAACTCCTTTCTCAATATGAGAAGTAGAATCTTGAGTCGCAATAGGAGGAACTTTAGTTCGCGCCATATTGAAAAGAATTCAAAAGTTTTCTCAACGAATTGATTCGAAGAAAATGAAACCAACACGATGTGTTGTGCTGGCTCCAACCCAAAGAGTTTCGAGTTTTTGTCCACAAGGTCTCAAACTTGAGTTTTGCAGCTCTATATGCAACCGGAAGAAAAGGTATACCAAAATATCTTGAGGAAAGGGGTACAAATTGATTTAGAAACTTTATAGGAGAATTAGCAAGAGATATCGATGATCAACTACATGCTATTTTTAAGACATAAAGCTATTGTTGTTCAAAAGTATCGTAGTCGGTCAGATTCTCATTTTACTGCTTTAAAAAGGTTATTTCGATTCAATTTGGGGTTTGCGGCTTTCGTAAAATGTTAGATGGCGGTGCTCGGTGCTTAAACGCCTCAACTGTGGCTGGAGCCAATCACATGTCGATTCAAGGCTACGTTAGCCTTGCCCCATATCATGTTGATGTTGAGACCTCTATTTGCTTCATCAATAACGTCAAAATAGAGCTTAAAGACAGATGCCAATCAACGTAAATATCACTTGTTGTATCATTCTTCCGACGGGTTCATATCATTCTATAATCAGCAAATCCTTGCAATAATCATTCATCCTCTGATACTGCTTCCCAATTGATACACAGCTTACAATCATGGCTTCAAAGAAATCAAAGCCAGCTCCAACTGATGATGAATTGAATGAACTTTTGGAAGGCATTGATGAAGTTAAAGTTAAAGCACCTTCTTCCAAGGGACCTTCCAAATCACATAAAACAAAACAACCATCTCAATCAGAACAAGATTTACTTGCCGAGCTTGAAAACCTTGGAGCACAACAGCCAAGTCGACCACACACACCACGAATTCAACAAGTGAAACGTTCAAATACAGCGACTCCTCCGCCAGCTTCTCGCAGAAGTGAGGACAGGTCAAGCGAGGAGAAATCTGCTTTATCTCGAAAATCTGTTGACAGTACTCGATCATTTCATACTAGTTTTACTCCTTCCGCAACTAGTAGCGATCTTCAAGAAGCGGAAAAGAAGGCTCCAAGTTCTCAGCCTGCTACTGAAGCCCCTTCGGCGGGTGGAGGATGGTCATGGGGAAGCGTCTTTGCAACAGCAACAGCGACAGCTAGTGCAGCGGTCAACCATGCTCAAGCTGCAGTGAAGGAAATACAACAAAATGAAGAAGCTAAACGATGGGCAGAACAAGTTAAAGGAAACGTTGGAGTTCTTAGAGGCTTTGGTAAGATTTTGACTTGAAGAACTGGCAAGTGAAGAAGTGCTAACTGAAATCGCAGGTGGTGAGTTGACATCTAGAGCTCTTCCAACCTTTACAAACATTCTTCATACTCTCGCACCACCTATTTCATCCCACGAACGACTTCAAATCCACATCACCCATGATTTCATTGGATATCCTTCTCTCGACCCTCTCATCTATTCTACATTTTCTCGTGTGATGGCTCAAGTTGAAGGAGGAGATCTGCTTGTCATTCAACGTGGTCACGAATCCACAGCACGTCGCGCATCCGAAGCTGGTTATACTGGAGGCAATGCAGGATGGAGCGATGGACCATGGTGGCGCGTAGGAACCGACAATCGTGATATTGGATCAGTTAAAGGACTTATCGAAGGAACGAAACTCGTCCGCGTAAGCGCAGAAGCCTATTCGAAGGAATATTTTGATGCGCATGGCGGGCTCGAACTCGCAGCTCAGCGAGCTACCGAAGATCTTAGCGAATCAAATCCAGTTCGCAGCAGCGATATTTTCATGGCCGTTCAAGCGATTACTCATGAAGCACCAGAAGATTTGTTCCAAGGAGGTCCAGTAAAGGAGGCAGAAGGAGGTGTGGTTGACGAAAAACCAAAACCGGACGAATTAATTTCCTTCGCTATTTACCTCCAAGATCCAATCCATAGCATCACTTTCTATACACTTACCCAAGCCATTCCTGCTAAATGGATTCAATGGCTCGATGCTCCAGCTCCCTTAACTCCAACATCCACATCTTCACCCTCTAAAGAAAAGTCCGGTTTCTTTGGTACAGAATCAGAGAATGCGCATGTAGGATTACCAGAGGAGATTCAACAAATCATAGAGAGTGGAGGAGTGGACCCCCGTGAATGGGTTGCAGAATGGGTGGAGGAGACATTGAATTTGGGTGTGGGTGTTATCGCACAGAGATATGTGGCAAGGAGGATGGGAGTTGGCGAAGGTGGTATCGGTAAGGGGAAGGCTAGAATGGAGGAAGTACTTGGCGATGGAGGTGGGGAGGCAGCAAGAGCGGGTTTGATCTGATTGGGCTTAGTGACAACGAGAGGAAAAGGGGGCGAAGGGGAGGGAATGCGGTATTTGCGGTTCTTACGAGTGATATGATATGATTGTCTGGGGCGTTTTGATTCTTTCGTCGCATCACGGCGTAGTCGTACTCAAGGATGGTTTGGTGATGGTATGCTTGAGGTCGCGTTAACGAAACAATGCATACATTCCCATCTTCTTTTCATGGGCGGATGAGGAAATGCTACAACTTCTGTATTGTGCGATACTTGCAGTTCTCTTTGTTTGATTTGCATTTACATGTGACGATAGATATAACAGAATGAATCTCAAGATGTATTTGCCTGTTCATCGATCCATCAGTTCTTGCACACTACACGATGTGTAAGTAGGACAAGCTTGGAGAAGAGCATGGTGGCCGGTGCTGAGAGCGGGGATGCGATTGAAGGTAGATATATGGAAACAGGTGTGTGGTATGAGTATTCAAGCACACATGCGAGTCCTGAGAATAAAGTGAAAGAACTTGTAGAATTACAAGTAGAATGTGACTAGTAATATAGTAGTTGATATAGAGATGCGTTGATATCGTAGGGTGGGATAGGATAGGAGTGAAGGATGTTAGATTAGGCAGGCTGTGAATTTTATAACCCTAAGAAAAAGCACTGCATAGTATAATAAGTATAGTTCGAAGATGAGAAGATGGTGGATTCGGGGATTCATTTTGGACCCTCAAAGTTCTATAAAATGTTGACTTGTTGATTCGTTTTTGAATGTTCACAATGGTTGAAGGTTGGTTAGTATTCGGTGTTGTAGTCTGGGATGCTGGATGTACTAGCTGGATGGTTGGGGATGTATGTATGTGTGATGGGTTGGGATGCTACGTATCTGGCGATGCTTTAGATGGAATGGGATGATGGTGAGTACGTTGAGGTGTGTGGTGGAAATGTGTCTGTATGTGTGTCAGGGTATTGATGTTGGTATTGAAACTGTGGATACTTGATCGATAGCTCTTTCTTCTTGCTTGTATGAAACATTCTTTGGGATTTTTCGATTTTCTGTTACTTTTTGGGGTTTGGAGGGGGATTGGGGTTGTCTTGGGTTTTGGATATAGAAGGTGTGAGTTGTGAGTTGAGGTGAGACATACGAGGGGGAGGGGAGGGGAGGGGAAGGTATGAAAAGTTGTATAAGTTTAGCAAATCAAGAGGAGGAGAGAAGAGGGTGTGAGGATTCGGGAATAAATATTTTATGGTGTATGCATCTGTTTCGCTTTTCTGTATGAGAGATAGAATGAGTGATGTCTGCTCTTGTATTGTGTTTGTCAAGAATAATATTCTAGGGTATTTGTAAAGTGGTATACAAACAAATTATGCTTGGCGGCCCGCGGAGTGGGAAGTATAACGGCAGTGAGGATGGAAGTATCAAGTCTGGATTGAGAAGTGAGGTGACCAGTTGTAAGAATATAAACAGTTGTGATCGTTATAGTATAGGAGATTATCACAAGTAAAGGGAACTTTTCTTACCTTTGGAAGTCGCTGGAAGAGATGATTCCGTCATTCTTCGAGAGGATTTGTGTGAGTCAGAAGTAGAGATGGCATTATGAAAGCATTGAGAAGACATACAAAAGCCCGTGAATTAGTATAAGATACTAGGTAGGAAAGGAGAAGTTCAAAATGGAGTTTGTAAAAGCGAATGTGAGTGCTATCCATACAGCAACTTCGATGCCGTGAACATTCCAAGATCACAATGATCATCTTTTAGAACGTATGGTTCTTCGGGTATGATTATACTCGATATAATTCAAGTCCAGGTCTGAAGTTTGAGCGTAGAGCAAGTGGAAAACTATATATCCTGTTTGACTACTGACTAGAAGCCGGAAGTATAGGATGTTGAGAATGAGGTATGGTTCGTGATGATTTTTGATAATGACGATGATGGAATACTTGAAACGAAGAGAAATGAGGGTGAATATAGTATTATATGATAAAATGTTGTGTGAAGCCACGAGCGGGATTCAGGAAAACTAAAGGTGATATGCAATCGCAGAATTTCCGGATTATTCTAGGGGAAAAAGAAGTCAAATCGATATATAATAATAACAGACGTCAAATATTGAAGGTTTAAGAGCAATACTGTGTAATAAACATAGAATAGCTCGATGGAGATTAGAGCCCGCAGAAAAAATGAAATGGAGAATAGTATTTCTCATTGGTATGATGAATAAAACTACAGGTATCCATCATTTAGAAGATTTTAAGCTAGAACAATAAGAGCTGGAGCATGGAAGAGGCCATACGTAGTGTTTTAGCGAATATCAAGGATTTTACTAATTTCTAGTGGTATGTCTGACTTCCCGTTCATTGATTACTTTGTGGAGAACTAATCATTGCTAGATTGAAACTAGAGTAATATAGCAGATTTGTATATTGCATTCGTATATTGAATGGAACAATGCGTTTAGTGAATGAACAAATAGATCTCTTCTCCAAAATCTGTTGAGTGTTTCCTCTGATGTATCCTCCAACGAAACCTATCCTGTCCTCTTATTTCGGTCTGATGGAATACTCAGCATGAGTAAGCAAGACGAGAACGCTTGTTCGAAGTATCAAGTTCTCGTCACACTCGTTAGTATGCTGTGGTAAAGTAAAGCAAAGCAAAGCAAAGCAAATGAACATTTTGGAAGTTCAATGAAGAAGTGAATGTGCATGAGAGTATTTTTATCCAAGAGCAGAGGTCGAACTATGTCGCTAGGATCCTCTGTATTCAATATTGCTTTTCCTTATGAGTCAACTTGTAGAAATAACACGGCTGATATCTCGAACTCTAGTTTGTCATGTTTAGGTAACGAGGATCGATGACATTCATCGCCTGTGACTTCTTCTGGCAAAGGCTTGAAGTTTGGACTTCGGGTACCGAGGACACACCTGTGATAAAACTTCAAGCTGAAGTATGTTGTGGTGAGTTGAAAGGAGACGGTACCTTGACAGAGTACAATCCCTTTCCCTCTCTTTTGACGAGTCATGTGAAAAAAGTAGCTAAAATCTTGAATGTGTTCGTAGTGCTATAATCGATGAAGATTTTGCTCCATACATACAGCATCAAAGATCCTGCTGTTGAGTTCTAGCCATGCGGTCCTAGCTATCCAATTCTTAACCAGTTCCAGTGTTGCTTCTGCCAGCTTTTGTGATCCTGTCGGGTCACCTCTCGTGAATGGCGTTGAACTCCGGATCAATGCCAACACCAGTGTTGGCCTGGATGCTTTCTAGGTACGAATAAAATTATAGCGTCGGCATTATCTCGCTAGAATTCCTCTCAAAATGTTGAATCTCTCAGTCAAGGATTGACAGGCGTAATGCCTCTTTGCCATTTATCTCCCTTCGCCTTCCTGATGTATACCGTGTCAATAAGATGTTGGGAACGCATTTAAATCTGTGGCTTGTACACCAACACCGATTGAGCTGTTGGCCTTAGGTTGTCTTAGGTGTCCAAAAGGATTTGAAAATGTTTACAGCCCATTATCGACGCCGCGTCGCCTTTCATGGCGCCAGCAGAGGTGCTGCTAAAGCTAAGAAGTAGAAGGCCCCGATTCGAGTATTTATCCCGCATCATAAACAACCGAGAAGTGAATTTGGTCAAGGAGAAATTCTCTTGAGTAATCGACTTCAGAGACTGAATAAAAATGAAAGAAAGTAGATTGAGACACGCAAAAGCGCAACTCTCGGGGGGATCTCTTCTTTAAATATGTCAGAAAACATGACGTTTCTCTTTGGTTGCTGATCTCAAATCTATCTTTCGCCAAGCTAGCATCCGGCTAAACTTTAGTAGACGATTAGCTACTAGCTAGTCATGGATAGAAATTTGATGATTTTCTCAAGTCTGTCGATATTTCGGCAAAGCGGCAGTATAGGAGTGTCAAGTAACAGCGAAGGACCCGAGATGATATAATTCCCAAGGTCATATTTGTTACTGATGACAGTGATATGTAGACTTTTCGAGTGATTATCATGATGAAATGGAGCCATTTCAAATCGCCCAATTTCGAATAGATATCATGTAAGAGAAACTCTGGTAACCAGAGTGTAGTCACATAGTGATGTTGACTTTAGATAGCAATATTAGTTATGAAGATCATGCTAAGACGAGGACGATATGAATCATGTGTCCAGAGTCTAGACTTAGCCGATAATTTCTCGGGTCAGGATAGAGCGTACAATCGTTGTTGACGCACGAGAATTAAGAAAGGGTGAGATCTGAAGAATGCTTAATTTGATCCAGAAGCTAGCTGACTACCATTCTAGTTTTTCAAATATCGGTATGCTAATGTCAACTTGACGTCGCCACATTAGATTTGACGAACTCATGGACAACGTCAAATTTGAATTTTTCCAAGCCATACTATTATTACCTGACTAGACATCTTCTGTCTTCAAGTCATTTGTCAGAATTGATGTTCATTGTATGATGCTGAGACTTGAGCTAGTGCGAGGCTAATGATCGGTGGAATTACTAAATATTGAGTGACGTCTTTTTTCGAATTCCCCACATAGTCGTAAATGCCAGCTTGACACGCGACGTTTCAAATCATGGTGAATGGAAATGTGATTGGACTGCTGTTGATTATAATTCTACATACTTCCCAGAACATGTATATACTATGAGTTTCTATCCTTGATCTGCTTGAATATCTTTGCATCTTGGAATGATACTAAAAATAGATATATCTACGGAATTCTAGCTTCAAATATTGGGTAGACTCATCTTTCGTCAAATATCTGGGGGAAAGCGATCGTCACTAGCACTAGGTGGTCTAGAGTTCGACTATTTACAAAGGACAAATAATGCAATGGAGTTTGGTAGAAAATATTTGTGTGATAATATCAATTTTATTCCTATAAATAGAACATATTTTCCCACTCATTGTGTTTTCTTCACAGCAGTCTAGACTTAGAGCTCGATCCAAGAGGTTCACACAACATCCTCAAGAGTTAATCATCCTTCAAAGCTACTATTTGCTCTTGCATTCTTCATGTGAAGTTTCAACCCCCCTTTCTCAATTCGCTTCTAATCAGAGCCTCTCCTTACAGTCACCGCGCGTACCAACCACCACTACACATCAATACCCATCACATATCATCAGCGTATCAGCCAAGAATGGCCTAAAGTGGTATTACAGACTCAATGCATAGTCGCCTAGAAGACGAATTCATATCTGCTTTTCATATACACCTCCATCGTCAAGGGATAGAGTCAATTTACATCTCAGGCAAGCTACATTGCATTCTACTTTATGATGGAGCATCGGCTGATTACATGCATGTCGAATAGGAAAACTGGCATTCCTGGAAACGTTTATCGATAATCTCGGCGATCACACATAAATCCGACCCATACGAACCGTCGTAGCAACTCGCTATGACCCAGGTGCCCTTTATGGTGCGTGAACATCCTGTCATTGCTTCATGCATGCATCTAATTACACTGTGTTGTTGTTGTTGTTGGTGGTGGTGGTAGTTCCGAGCTTGGTCAATCTTTTGCAAGTTGTTTGTGGGGTGCATGTAGCTATGCACTTTGCATTATGCTGTGTGTTACAGTACTTGGTTTTTGCGAGTTATTACAGCATTTATATATCTTCGACCCAATCCCCCTCTACGCAAAGCCAGTGCATGTACCCATGGTAACTTGATCCCGCTAACTCGTGGAGTAGGCAGGACGAGTACCATGTCGTACCAATAAGTAGTCGAGGAGGGGGTGTTGAGAAAATATGGAGCTAGTGCTTAGGTGGGACTGGGGAAATAGATTAAATACAGGATGGGACTGCCATGGTAATTATGAGGGGGATCAGAGACCTGAAGCAAGAAGGCTTTTTAATGACGTATGTAAGATTACATGACGTCAATCGCACCGAAATTTATTAATCAAGACTCAAGAGCTAACCATAATCGATAGATAGATATTAGATAGGGGCTTAGGAGGGGGACGGAGGGGCGTCTCCACTTGGCCGTGCCGACCGATACTATCATTATTTTGGAGTACTAGGATTGAAATATCTACTAGATGGTAGATGATATTCAAATGAAGTAAGAATACCAATTCGAGGGACGGACAATATCTATCTATGATCGGTACCTTTTCCTTTCTCCAGATAGAAATTAGATCTACTCCGTATTGATATGGATCTATATATGAAATGCAGATAAATTCATACCCAATGGGGGTAGATACCCTACCCAGCTACCCAACTCGAGTATCTACTTGGGTACCTATCTAGATGAATGCTATCTCTCTCTCTCTCCGTCTATCTGGGTAGTAGTAGTGGTAGTGGTAGTGAGTGTAGTCACCTACTTGGTATTCATTCAATCTATTCACTCATCAGGGCAAGCTGTCAGTCAATCTACCATCCAGCCATCTAGCCATCTACCGGTAGCCATCCACCCATCTACCTAGGTACTACCTGCCTCCTCAACATCGTCATCACCCATATATTTCATATAAATGTACTGTCATGTTGACTTTGTTGTTTTGTTTATCCCCAAATCCCTATCACTTGTTACTTTATTTATCAGATAACCAATCAACCAGGTCACCCACAGACCCCCTTGACGGATTTTATTTGATTGGAAAGCACTAAAACAAAGGGAAAAAAAAGACAATTCATCGTCATAAGTACATAAAACCAAGTACATTACCCTAGTCATCCATCATTTATCATCCCTCATCCATCATCCCTCATCCCTTATCCCTCACACAACCGAAAAAAGTTCCAAATATCCAGAAAGAGTCATCTGTTTGATATTGACATACCATCCCCGACTTACTCTACTACCTTGTTGCCAATCTTACCTATTATTCTGCCTACACTCAACTCTTTTTTCCACATTCAATCAAAAAGTACTATCGACAGTACCAAGTTCTTTTTTTACATCACAATTACACTTTTTGCTCACTCCCTTGCTTGATCACCAATCACGCTTTCAAAATTTCCGATCCTTGCTTATCCTTGAATTTCATTCATATCTTTTTCCCCCTCTTGTCTTGCCTTACTTGTTACAGGAATTTGAATCCGATTACACCCCTTCTCTTCAAAGTCTCGCAATTTTGATATTGGGTTTATCAAATTATCCGAATTATTTACTCACTAAAATGTCTTCCATCTCACAGGCCATTAAAAATGCCCTTCATCGGGGTACGTCTTGCTTAATCTTTTCAACACTTTCACACGCTACCCGTTCTTTCTACTGATTTCTGCGACAACTGCACCTTCTTCTTCTTCTTTCTTCTCAACATTCAATATGCTAATAACAAACTCAGGCAAGGGAGGTGCAAAGGGCAACGAAGATACGAAAAAGGCTGCACCTGCCGCTCCAGCTGTCCCTCAACATCACGCTAAATCAGATCCCACCGTAATGGCTCATCAAGCACACCAAGTTCCTGGAGGTGATGCATATTCAGTTGCAAACGAAGACAATAGAAACAGAGGAGCTCAAGCTGCAAATCAAGCTGCACATGCAGCAGGACAACAACAAATGGCAGGACAATCTAGCTCGACGAGGCAGGACGAGTTGGCAAAACTAGTGGCCGCCTCGAATGAGAATAACAACCGTTTACCAAGATATCCTGGACTTGAGAGATGGTCACTTATCGAGAAGATGGGTGATGGAGCATTCAGCAATGTTTACAAGGCCAAAGACTTAGAAGGGCAAGCTGGAGAGGTGGCCATCAAAGTTGTCCGAAAATATGAGATGAACTCCAATCAGGTAAGTACCTTTTGAGATCTTTCATTATGATCTTCTCTTTGCTTTTTTGAAACCTTGCCAACATGTGTGGTGTGGTAGGCAGATGCTCATCTTCATCCGAACTTCAACAAGAAGCAACCCAAGGGCGTGGAGGTGCGGAATTATTTTTTACTCTCTCCTGTCAACAACATTCCACTTACATCATAATTCAATAATGGCTAACATCATACAATCATTTCTAGAGACAAAACATTCTTAAAGAAGTTTCCATTATGCGTGGTCTAGATCATCCTAATATTATAAAACTCATCGAATTTTCCGAGTCAAAACAATACTATTATCTTGTTTTAGAGTTGGCACCTGGCGGAGAATTATTCCATCAAATCGTCCGCTTTACTTATTTTAGTGAGGACCTATCCAGACATGTTATTAGACAAGTTGCAGAAGCGTTACACTATCTTCACGAAGAAAAAGGTGTCGTCCACAGGTGAAGATACTCCCCAACCCCCCACTTTCGTTTTTTGTTCGTCGTTCATTCAACGCTACGAATACTGACGTCATTCTTCAGGGACATCAAACCAGAAAACATTCTGTTCGAGCCAATACCGTTCATTCCAACCAAGAACCCGAGACCAAAATCTGCTGAGGATGAAGACAAGGAAGACGAGGGTGAATTTATCAAGGGTGTTGGATCAGGTGGTATTGGAAGGATTAAGATTGCCGATTTTGGTTTGAGTAAAATCGTATGGGATACTCAAACCATGACACCATGTGGTACCGTAGGATATACAGCGCCAGAGATTGTCAAGGACGAACGATATTCCAAAAGTGTTGATATGTGGGCATTAGGTTGCGTTCTTTATACCTTGCTCTGCGGTTTCCCACCATTTTACGACGAAAGTATTCAGGTTTTGACGGAAAAGGTTGCTAGAGGTCAATACACATTCCTCTCGCCATGGTGGGATGAAATTTCCAAGCCAGCACAAGACCTTGTCTCACACTTATTAACTGTGGATCCCAAAAAACGATATACAATCGATCAATTCCTTCAACACCCTTGGATCAAGGGTTCCGAGGAACCTACATACGCAGCACTTGATGCTCCACCATTGGCTACTCCAGCCGTTGAACGCCAACGCCAATTGGGTGGTGGCTTGCGAGCCTTCAACCCTGATCTCCTGGAGTCTCCTGGAGCAGGCAGGCGTATGGATTTCCGAAGTCCCGGTGCTGTCAATTTACGTGAAGTCTTTGACGTCGGTTATGCCGTTCACAGACAAGAAGAGGAAGCCAAACGAAAGAAGAACTTCAAGCAAGGTTATAGAGGAACTGCCGCCTTGAACCCCCTCAACCCCATCGATGATGAAGATTTCGATGAGAGCGACGAGGAGAACTACGATGAGAACGGAGTTCCTTCAAAGGCACCCAAATCTGGGCAGTCAGATGTTGCACAAGTCGGTGATGCTTTGCGAAATACAAAGTTGAATCCAAAATCCGCAGCCCCGGCTAAAGGTTATGGACAGCATAGTGCTCAGGTAACCGCATCTGCAAAGCGAGATATCAAACCAAGAAATGGCGCCTTCGAACTCAATCTCGATGGAGCAACTCTACTCGGTCGACGTCACAAACAACCACCGCCAAGTAATCTGAGGGAGTCAATGGTTGCGCAATAGCATTACTGTTGAGAATAGCGGAATTCAATTTGTTTGTCTTAACAACCCTTTTTTCCGGAACCAAGACCAATTGCGCTATTTAAAGCCCTCTTCAATACCGACTTCAATTCTAACCCTTTTATTGCAATGCATTGAGGCCGCCTCCATAAACATATGGCGAACACCCCATTTGATATTTGCATAATTCTGGCATCAACTTTCTTTGCGGACAACATTATGCCCAAGTTGACCAAGCATGATAATGATTTGAAGGCCAAGCATTACATACAATTCATTATATGGGGGTAATTTATTTGTGTCTTTCATTCGTTGGTTCACATTGGCGTTTGGAGATGGGAAATAAATTGCCGGGGGATAACGTGTTAACGACTGGCGGTGTTCATGGACCTCTGATCATGCTTCCTTTTTTTCACTTCATTATTTCATACGGCCGCTTCAGTTGGGGATCAGTATGAATTACCAATCACACGAGGCAGATGAATAAGTTTAGTACTGTCTGCAGCAGTACTATTCCTGATGCATTAGATCCTTGAAATTCATTCTTTTCCTTTAGGTTTCTCTGTTATGCATTCATAAATCTTTTGCGTTGGGGGATTGGTAGGCAGATAAATGGTGCTGGGCCAGTAAATAGATTTTAAAGATCAATGGACTTTTACATATCAAGATTACTTTTTGTTTCTATGATGCTATGCTATGTGATGATTCTGATGTGCGATGCGGTGATGAATCTTTTCATGTCATAAAATATTACAGCCAACTCCGTTTCGATTTAGCTATTCATTCTATATGTGAATATCTTGTAAATTGATCTCTATGCATATCCTTGAGAATCTAGACTCCAAATTCTAGGTAATGTGTAACAATGATATCAATGATATCACAAGTTGAATCTGGATACATGGGGTGGGTTTGTTTCTTTGCTAGGATACTAGAACATTTTTTATATTTGGATTGGGGTATAAAGCTGGCAAGGCCAAGGCTAGGGGAAGCTTGATGTTTGATGAGTTTTTGGAAGACAGACTTGGTGGGGGTGGATGGGGATTGATGGGGGTGGATGGAGCTATAGATGGGGGCAATGTATGTGTTGAGGTAGATGCATTGAAGTAAGTGGGTAGAGTGGATAAAGTAGGTAGTGTAGTAGTATAGTAGTGTAAGTATGATTCGTTCGTTTAATAAGAGTATATAGATACGCGACCGCTTGGTGAAGCGAGCAATGTTGTGTGATCACGGGAGGTGAGGTGGGAAGATGGTGCTGGCTAGCTTAAATAGGTATATATTGTCCTAGTGCGCACTATGTATGTTGTCTTGGGAGGATGGAGCTAAGCAAGTTGGAGCTTTTGAGTTTGCGGAGTGTTGTTTTGATGTTTTATGTATGGATTATGATGGCGTATGGATGGTCTGTTTGACTAAGATTTATGTTGATGGTATGTAGAGCTATCATAATGGTGCCAACGGAGAAGAAACTAGGGGAAGCTTGTATTTGAAAGTTAAAATAGTTACTAACGTAGTGTTGAGTGATGTTTGACAGGATATGACGAAAGCTCAGAGGCGAAGAAAAACTAAAATGGAGTGACTAGTATGTTAGCGGGTGCTGATGTCTTGGGGGTGTGCAAGCAGTGTGGGGCTAATGGATGAGCTAGATGTATAGTCGGTTGGCTAGTGATGGGCAGAGCTCAGAAGGGAGCTGGGGATTACCCGTAGGATCGAGACGGCGGCTGGGGATCTTGAGTTGACTAACTGTTCGTGGCTTGGTCAATTGATTAGATTCATTAGATAGTGCTGTGAGTTGATGCTCATCTAATAATACGTATAATAGAATGGTTCACAGAAGGATGTTCATCAGAATTATAATGATGAGTGAAGAAAATAAAAAGGAAATTTCAACTTCATTTCAAAAGAGTATACCTTCTAATAATTCAACTTCTCTTTCCAACGAATAGATCAAAAACTGTCTTGAATCAACTGGTTGAACAGATATATTTATATTGCAGCTCGAATTAAGAATAAATCTCCACTCCTAGGATTTAGAAATCCAGGATGGACTGTGGAAGATGGGGAGATTAGAAACTCTTGTGCTGATGATGTCGACGGGTGTTGATGTCATATTTTTGAGAGTTCTAGAACTGATAGAACATTGATAACAGCATTAGGACTTCCATAAAAGTAGATCGCCCGCCAAGTATCAACAGTGAGAAAACTAGAACTCCATTCTAACTCTATAGATTTCTCATATTGGTAATCAATCATGTTCTTTTACTCGAGATCTGCAAAAAATACCCGAAAATCCTAAAATAAAAAAGACTTTCGATCTCAAATCGGCTCTAAGAAAGTGGGGATTTCAAAAGTGAATAATACGCCCAATCAAATTTATGGAAGCTCAAGGATAAAGATACAGAGTTCAACAGAAAGGGCTAGTTTTCATACATGGTGCGGGGATTCCCATATCATGTCAGAAGTTTGACAGCGGCATATAAGTTCATCCGACTCCGTCACTTAAAGTCAGGGGAATACTTAGCGAGGAGATTGAGAAGAATCATGACGAAATGGGATTGCTAAATCCTGATCGGTGAACCTGTTGGCTATTATGTGGGTAGTATCTGAAAGACAGACTATTATAATCTTGGCACTATGTATACCTCGATGTCTGAATGGTGGATTAATATTATTACATTCTGTCAAACTTATTGACGAGCTGCTGCCAATGTTGTCACAAGACTTTCTGAGTTTCGCTTACCACCTATTGCCCCAGATTATCCAGATATAAATACTAGAGTCAGGCCTCGTCTATCAAAGCAATGGATCATATTTGAAAGCGTAAAATAGCGTATGAATTCAATTGTAAATAGACTCGACTACCATCAAGCCGGCCGTACCCCTAGGGCATGAAACCCACTTTATTAGACGTCATCTTGTCCATTCCACACTGGGCGTTAGCTTCCTCTGCATATTAATTTGTGTTTGGAATTTTATTATATGTCAATTCAACTCGAATTGCTTCATTGATGTCACAATGTGTTTGGAATTTTATTATATGTCAATTCAACTCGAATTGCTTCATTGATGTCACAATGTGTTTGGAATTTTATTATATGTCAATTCAACTCGAATTGCTTCATTGATGTCACAAAGTCTTCAAGAATCATATTACTTCCCGGAACACTCGGAGCTACCAAGAAATGATTATCAACTTATTCATGTTGAGAGGTTCTAACAGCGACTTGCAATGTAGAGTATAGGAAGGTTGGTTAATCCAAGTTTAAGACTTCCAGGTTTACACCTTTCCGACATCTTGACATGTGTCAGCACATAGAGTCAGCAATACCAAGTGATGTTGAATGACCGGCAATTTAACCGTTATTGCGTACGTGATCGATTAGTATTGGAATTTAGTTGCAAGCTACTACTAATATGCAAGGCATATACAGAGATGATCTACTCGCACTAAGCTAGAAGAGGTAGTAGATCTACTTTGCTATTATTTCAAAGCTTTTTAGTAGGATTATTAAGCAGACTGTATATAATATGGAGTTATCACTGTGTGTACTGCGTTTCTTTTTAATTCCCACCTCTTATACAAAACTTTGTGTATGTTGTTTACTCATTGTTGATGAATATACCGAATTTTTGTTCAAGATTGTCCATTACCCTCTTAGTTCAATAGTTTCCCAATTCGAGTGAGTGTACGAGACAAGGAAACACCATCAGGTTGTGTGTATCATCGGGCATTTTCCACATCTCAAATGATTTGTTCTATATATTTAGTTCAGTACTCCATGGGCTCATGGATTGGAGTGATCGACTAGCATGCTGTCTATAATATCAAAATGGATTTTGACTATCAAATCATCACATCTTACGCGTTCAGTATGGCGCTACACTTGAGCACCATGGAGTCTGGCAATGTATAGCATTATAGCAGACCGACATTGGATGGGGAGTATCATATTTTTAGCTCCTAGAAGCACAATTTGTTCGAGTATATGGGTCAAGATAAAATCCATTGACCATCTGTAGCCTCATATTCCCGTATCACGGTGACTTCATGTTCAAATTTCACACTTTGCGGAAGCAAATCTTGTTGGAATCCCAATTCTTCAGACAGTTTGAGCTACCAGAATCCCCAGAAATATGATGAAATAGTGCTTGGCTAACGTCACATATGATGCATACAGAAGACGCAGAATGGGGTAGTGCTTGATGATAAAACTCAAGATAGCATTATCCTTTGACTCCAGATTTCAAACTATTGAAATCATGACCGACGATAGATTCGCTGTCAGTAGTAGCAAAGCCTATACTAGCTAGTTTGTGGTATAATCATAGTTTCATAATTTCAACATAAGGCCACAGAAGAGATTCATCGGCGTCGTCAATTTTAGGGCTTTCCTAGGTATTTCTCTCTTCCTGTCACATATAGCTTTAAGCCAATGCAATACATTCGATCTCGACCGGAACACCCTTGGGCAATTGGTATACGGCAACACAACCTAGAGCAACATCATTAGCATATTCATTCATATCCTTCAGACGTCATTTAAAAGCCTGAATGTCCATCACCCTTCATCTGTTTATTCCCATCCTCCTCTATCTTCATTGAAGGAACACATCAACTCACTTCTTGCAGGCTTATGCTTGAAGAGCTTCTCATAGACTCCGTTCATTTCCGCAAAGTTGTCCATGGTAGTCAAGAAGACATTGACCTTGACAACTTTCTCAATACTACTTCCAGCTTCCTTAAGAACAGCAGACAAGTTCTTGATGCAGAGCTCGGTCATGGCAGAGATGCTGGAGGTCTCGAGGGTGAGGATTTCGCCTTCGGGTGTGCATGGGATTTCTGTAGGAGAAGGGTCAATTAAATATCCCCGGTGGAATAGGATATTATGGTCAAAGAAATGGAATTGAAATGGGGGACAAGCTTACGTCCAGAGCAGTAAATAGTAGATGAAGTCTTGATGGCTTGGGAGTAAGGTCCTGCTGCTAAAGGGTTGTTAGATTAATGTGTAAAGGAGGCAATGCTCTCAATTTAGTCAATGTCCACAGGAATTAAAAGAGTCTTACGGAAAGCAGCGTCCTTGGTGTAAACTGGAGTAAGGTCCGACATTTCGATATTTGATTGATACGGTTCGAAGTATATTCTCGAGGTTGATTCTTCAAAACAGTTTTTGTATAACAATAGATTTTATAGTATTTTATCAGCGAGGTCGGAGGGGAGCCGTCGAGCTTGTTGACGACAAGGTGGGGTGAAGCTTCAGACTTTTGGCGGGGCACGCACGGGCCCAATTACACATACCATCTAACCGTATTTGGAACAACGCGATTGTATTGACGAAAGTCAGCTTCAACGACATGTTAAAAAGTTAACTCATCAATATCTCTACGAAAAATTTACACAACTTGTTTTGCTTTAACAGTTTTTCTCGGTGGCTGATATAATGAGCGAATACCCGGTCGGACGAGTGAATGATAGCATCACGGACAACACTATCATCTGAAAGGTCGATGTCGAGCAAGGTGCACTGCCCGTTTGGCGCATTCCCACACTTACGAAAATGGAAAATCGCTGCCTGCATTTGTCCGCAGATGTGATGAAAAGTTCAAAGTCGATGCCGAAGGGGACAAGTTCTCATTCAAAGAGAATGAGGATAAGAAGGATCATCATCCATGAAATATCATGTCAAAACTACACTACTATGTGCTTCACTTGGCCACTTCCTACGTTCATACGCCTGGCATATTCGAATACGGGTTTATTGTGCGAAAACTCCTTGCCCTCAAAAGCGAATTCTCACAAAAATTACAAGCCACTACTCACGAAAACGACTAAAGCCTGCTAGGAGATCGAAATTATACTGAACACACATATACATTGGAATTAAATATACAAAGTACACCATGTACGAGCAAATCTGTCATACAAGAACATCTTTTTGCTTTAAAGAACTGGATATAAGAGCGGAAATCAAAATTCGAATGCGGGGGTTCAATAATTATATCTCAAAAAAGTCAACGCCTATTATCCAAAATCAGCGAGGACTATGATTTGTGGTTCACATATTTACCTTTTCAAAATCGTATCTGCACGCTTCCAAAGCTGTGATGACAGCGTTGCGAGGGTATCCCAACTGTATTAAATTGCTCACATGAGAATCTTCCGTTGATACGACAGTAAGGTCCTGTCTTTGCTGGCTTTCGGTTGGTCTCGCATTGCGTATGTAGACAGTGGCTGCTTGATCTACCTAGGTCAGTTGCGATTGGCTTGGGTTTTTACAGTTATCTTACATTGATTTTCCATTTTCAAATATGCCGGTGCTTGTCTTTCCCTCTCAACAACACGTCGGGGTCTTCCAGCTTCATAACACCCAAGACAGTCACAGAAGTAAAGATGATCATCGCAATCTTCCTCAAAATCCGGTGTAGGTAGTCGTCTAGGCCGAGGTGTGGGTGGTGGCTCTCGCTTCACTGGAGGACTTGGGACACGGGGAGGATATTGAGGTTGAGTACTGGCTGCAACAAGCTTGAATTGATGAGTTTGAATAGCACTGTCATTTCGAGCTCCGAGATTCATTCGGTACTGTCGATCAATGGGTTTATCCTGAATTTTACGACGATTGACTGCTTGAATTGGAGTTGAGCTAAGGTCATAGCAGGAAGAACCTGCCTTGAATGATTTCGAAGATGATGGAATTTTATTCCTTCCCGAATCCTTAGTAACATTGAGGGCGGTGGTATTGTTCTTGTGTCTTTTATCACTTGGTTTTATCTTGAATTCGTTTAGTTCGTCGTCAATGGCTCTAGGAGCGAAATGGACAGATTTCTGTCTGGGAGCAGGCGATCTTTGATTTATTTTGGAGAATCCAGCCAAAATAGGCATTGCTTCTCTATGAACGGTGTTCCATTCCATTTCGTATGGTGACACAGTAGAGTCACAGCAATGATGCGTCGGTAAGTTCTTGATGACGGGAGACTTGTTTCCTGACATTTTACAGTCTAGGTCGTGTTTATATTGATGATTAGGGACGACAGCTTGATGATTGAAGATGGTTTGTTTGATGAATCACTTGAAGGTGATGAGCTGTTGATGGATTGTTTCGACCGTGCTGGTATTCTGACGAACCTAGACAGAATCATCAAGCGATGATCATGCCGAGCGAGGGTACCAAGTGTTACTCACGTGTTAATATTCCTAGAAGATTGTTTGAATGTCCGGGGTGTGTGGAATCAATTTGTTGATAATTGTGAGATGAATTTCGATGAAATGGAAGTAGGTGAAGGAGTGTAAGAGAAGGTGGGCAAGATGAGGAGGGGGGTGCAGCTTTTATGGGTGCTGAGTCGAAAATTATGCTAGAAGCTGATTGGCGAGATGTCCCCTGCGGCACATGCAGGAAGATTTCCTCGACTCTACTCGCTAAACCCGTACCGGTACACTTTCCGGAGAAGCGAGAAACACCGAGTTATATTCCACGAGTCTGTAAGTCCCTTGGAAGGTCGTTTGACGTTTATTGAGACCCTTATGAGAGCGTTTGAAATGGTCCGTGCACAGTTCAAGTGCTCTTGAGTTGTCGATGAAGTCAGTGTCAATTAGATAGCAAGTGCTCTTGTAGATACGAATCAATAAGGTTTACTTCTTTGCAGACCAGAATCAAAACAAACCGTATGACTTTGCATTTGCTCCTTGCTCATGTCTTTCAGAAGGTTGTGTAAAGGAGTTAATGTTGCCGTCGTATCATCTGTTTTCATTCACTTGTGGCGTAGGGTAATCATTCCTCGTTCGATTCGCTCCGGAGAATTTACCGGAAAATATTCCAAGTTCCAATTGTTGGACTGAAGTTATCGACAAGTGTAAAGTATTAATTAATCGGTCCTGTGGTATTTTCAAGGTTCGCACTTCTTGTTTAGAGTAATTTATAAAAGTTGACCGAACACTTAAGAAACCATTTTAAAATCTACCATTCAGCTTTGGGTGAAAATGAGATTGTTTGAATATTTATCGTGTTGGTCTGGGAGGCCTCCTGGGCTTCTCGCTGAACACCTGCGCGTGGCCCATTGGTCGAGTGAAATTGTAGAGAATGGAGATGTCTGCTTCTCATAACCGCACGATATTCAACATAGCAATTCCTCTTCATGACTGATCCCCCTTCAGTATTGTTAGGCAGTTTCAATTCGTGAATTTTGAGGTTTTAGGCAGCATTGCTTAGTCATCGTATGATGTTGTGGTTGTTATCAGCCTGCTTATGTAAATGATACATAAGCGTGGCGGTAATCTTGCGAGCGTGCCGAGAGTATAAGAGTATATCTAACTAAATAATCGGCAAGGGATGCCGATTCTTGAACGTGTAATGAACCCTTGATATAGATTTTTATTGATTCCTTCAATATGATCGTGTGAAAGATTTGCACCAATCAACTTTGGACTTGAAGGAGTTCGCATCGATCTGGACATCGATAATTGAAATTCTGTCGATTAACTACCACATAAGAAAGATCTGAAGCTACCAATATCATCTACCACTTCGTCCGAGCATCTGCGCATCATCTCTCCCCATTTCCATCTCACCTCCCACTTCCCGGTGGCAATTTGATTCCCATCTGCAAATTCTCCATTATCTTCTTCGCACTCTCAATCCCACCATCTAAATATACAGCCCCAATCACCGCCTTGACTGCTCTGCTGATAACACGGGTGTTGTCTTCTCGCGTGTCCTCTTTGACGAGTTCTATGATATTGCGGAAAGATATTGGGACGCTGGGCTGAGGACGGATACATGATGCTATAGTCGGGTAAGCAGACAGGGAGACGCGGGAGAGGATACGGTTTAGTATTTGAGAGGCTTGTACTGTTTGGAGAAGTCGGGTTAGTATATTCGTGGCTGCCCCTCGCAGTGTTGCTGAAGATAACACGGAGAAATCAAAGCAGAGTATACATACCTTCAGGAATACTAAACAAATAAAACTGTTCCCTCATCACTAATCTAATGGCCATCTCACCTAATTTCGCCAGTCCTTCATTGCCATCCAAACAGATTCGCATACTATTTCCAACACACGTGACGCCATTCTTGGGGGTTTCGAGTGCCTCTTCGAGAATATCGGGGTTGGTGAAGGTGTAAGAGAGGAAGGATTGCAAGATTGGAAGCCAGTTTTTGTTGGTGGCGGGGTTGAAGTGGGCAACGCCACGATGAGGGAGGCGAATGATGCGGTTTGTCGAGTTTGTGAGGGTGGAAGCTGAAATGGTGTTGAGGAATGGATCGCGAGATTTGTAAGAGGGGGAGGGGGAAGCTAGGGGGAGCATGTGGTTCGTTGGATAATGAGAGAAAGTGGCTGCTGTTGTGGAACTGGTGTTTGCCTGTTGGTCGCGAGATTTGTAGGATGGAGTAGGAGAGTTTAGGGAAGAAGGGGGTAAGCACCCAAGGTCGGAGTGAGACTTTGTGGAGTAGTTGGAGCTGTTGGTACTAGGTGGTCTGGAGGGAGGACCGCTAGCTGGGGATTGGTGAAGGCGTGGGTGAGTTTCTTCTTCATAGACGTCATGGAAGGGGCTCGTTACTCCTGCATCCTCTTCATAACCTTCCCATTCTTCGGGTTGGAGCATGTTGGTATTGTTGGAATTTTCTGTGGTGTCTTGATGGGATCGGAAATCTGCTGACTGTGGAATTTGAGTGCGATAGTTTGTAATTTTATCAGGCATTTGAAGTATTGACAAATGTTTATGCAAAATAGTAGAGCATGCAAGATGAGCTTGATGTTCTTGTCGGGATGGAGGCGGACTATATAAATCCCATAAGCTGCGTTCAAGTGGCTGCTACTTCATCTTGTTATTCAGTGAACCATTGGAATTTCCGAGACACATTCAGATAACCGATACAGGAGAAGTGAATCACGAATACATATTTGCACTGTTTATGCACTCAATCACATATACTGCAAATTCATCCTAGATATGAGAAAGACATTCACAGGATAGGAAAAGCAAGTAATATCTAATGGTTCAAAGAAGCCAACAAGAGAGCACAATCCATTCCAGTGGCTAGAGCACTGAAATCTCGAGGTCGTGGCTTTTGAAGATATAGCACAGTGCCTAAACGATGAAGATGATCCATGATATTTAGAAAAATCCCCTCCAGCACTAGGAACTCCACATCAGAATATGTTGTTCCAAGAATTGCGAAAAGTATTAAAGAGCGAAAGGTTTACCTTTCTTTGAATAATATACAAGATTACTACACTTCAAGCTTTGTAAACCCACTTGATTCGTTCTCTCTCTGAAGTTTGAATCATTCTCGCCGGAATTCTCACAATGCAGCGGTAGCATTCAATATCATACCATTCAACCGCTTTAACACTCAGACTTGCACACAAAGCCAAAGACATAAAGTTTTATGAGCCGATGGCATTCCATATCTCTATCTCTCAGTCCGCAGAATTCAGTAGGGGACAAAAGTAATCATGCTATCAAGAAGTGGAGAGCTTAAGCTTCTGTCCCTCTGTTTTTAACCGATGATTCGTGGGTATTAGAATTCATATTTGGGTGGGTCTACTTCACAATAAATAGATGATGGGATGGTTGTATAATGATATAAGGCTAGGGGTGAGAATTCCTGTCGAAACACTGAGCGGCACTGGTCTTTCGTACACATTCATGAATATAGAGTAATTTGGATCGTCTTCGAATGACATTCATCAACTTCTTCTCTCATTCGGTATGGTGACGCTGAAATAATGCCATCCGAACTCTCAAGTTTAGAGTCAATTTTGTATTGAAAGAAAGTTGTGATCCCTCCAAAAGGTTACAGGAGTAGGAAGACTAACTTCAACCCATCGCGGGTAAGCTGAACACCAATTTTCGCGCCAATTAATATCAATTTTGCTACTCATCCGAGAACATAGGATGACTTCAATTGATCATCAGGAATGTTGACTGTTCGCCCATAAACTTCACCAGAATATACATCGGATCTCTACTGAGATGTAATGTTATATAGTTTACAACTTTTATGGCACAACAGGAATTCATATAGATATACAGTTGCTTGCATATACCACCATGAAAATCATCACACTCATTAAATCCTAGCTCAACTCGAGCAACAGCAAGGTATTTTATTTTCCTTAAATGAGACAGACTGGTGGAATCTCACCCTCTTGGAAATTCAACGGCAACGGCGCATGATCTCGCGAATTCGAGCCAGTCTCACACAAGCAATGATCATCCAACTGCCACATTTTTCCTTCAACCAATCTCATATCATCTCTCATATGTATCATAAGCTTAGTAATTGCCCCTCTGCCTACTCCCAGTCATTTCATCAGTCCCCGCCAGCTCTGTCCTCTCCTTCGTTGGAACACCCCCTGGCAAATTATTGCCCTTTCGACTCTGTGGTACTGTGCTAGCATTAGCTGCTTCTGGCTCCGCGGCATATTTCTTCAAGTCTTCTAGTGAGATTGCATCTCTGTTTTTTGTTAGTTTGTCTTCTTGTAATGCTTTGATTCTTCGCTTCTGATTTGATAATTGATCTCCCGCCACACACTTTCCGTTTCCATCTGAAATTAACCCAGCGGAATTGTCTTGACAAGGGAGAACGAGGATGTCGCCGCCATAGTGATTTCGAAATCGAGATGACAAGCATGAACAAGGAAACCTACAAAGCTCTCTCGTGGGTAGCATGCAAATGCACTTTAGGTACCAAATTTTCGTCCCTAGAACTTTTCGCGGCTTCCATTGCTTCTTTCCAGCGACCGGCACATAAACACCATTTCTTTCCTCCAGTCAAGCCGATATCGCGAAGATTGTTGCCACGGGACGCAGAGAAATCAAGGAAGCTGTCTGTCAAAGTTGCTTTGGGATGCATTAGTTGTATCTCTTGGATGAAAGAGGGAGTAAGGGAAAGAAAAGAAGACATACCAGCAACCGAGTGATTCCCCGTATCATCCGGACCAACATCACACTGTCCATTTCTGTAAAATCCAGTTCCTTTCGCAAATTGACCGAGAGGCTTGTTAAATACTATTTTTCATCTCCAGTTAGAATCTGTCTTTTCCTGCTGAATGGTGATGTGAAGCTATCTCGACATACCATTGAGTGATTTATGAGCTTTTCCAAAGCTATCTGATCGTCCTTCATTTGCCATTTTGACTCTAGTGGTAGAATATGTCTTAAGATTAGGAAAGACTGAACTTCGGAAGATTTGTCGACGAGTTACTGACACAGAATGCATACAAATTACACAGGCAAGTAAATTTAATGTACAAATGGGATCAAATTGAAATATGAAAATTATCAAACAAAAGAGAAGAAGTTATTAGAGTCGAAGTGCTGATGAGTGGTGTATGCACTAAGGAACATAGTCTCAGGTCCATGACGTTGTGATTCTGGAATGACTGACACTATTGAACCAGGAACAATCGATTGTAGAGATTCGATCAAAGACCGAAACATTAATAAAATTTCCAGTTTCAATTTGAGAACACAAAGAGTGATTTCTACCAATTATTCAGAGATCCGAATTAGTCCTTTGTCGAAATTTATTAACGATGTTGCTGGGAGAGTGCTCCGAGTGATGATATCATTGCTTACATAACCTTAAAAAGTGTCTATGAATTTACATCTGCTTTGAATCTGGAAGAAACTACCTGCGGACAACAATTCTACATTCGATGCCGCTCCAACTCGTGATTGATATTGAATATCCCACGTGTAAGAGAATGAAGCATGCAATTGAAGACTAACTGGCATTTAAAAGAAGATTCAGAATCGAGGCTCATCTCGACGCAACATTGCCATCAGAGAGATAATGGTAACAGCAACCCAGACAGGGGATCTGAAAGACTTGAAATTATCCATCAAACAGTCTTCACACTTGCTGCAATAGCTAATACAAGAGTGAAGAGTATTGTTATACAGCTATGCACATATGCTATTTGGGATGGTATTGTAGCGAACGTAGGATAGTTCTGCCGGGACTAAGGCAAAGAGAAGAGTTGCCTTTTGCACCTCTATCAATATCTTCATCAAGAACTAAAAAGTATCGAAGATCATGATCTTCCCGTTTCTTCATACTTAGCTCTACTGCTTTCAACGGAAGAAAGAGCGGTGGCATGACAGACTTGGTATTGAAAGCTTTCCAATCATTCCCCCTCGTAACCACAACATCAATTCCCACATCGATATATGTGAGACCAAACAGATTAACCTGGTGTCTTGTACAAGCATACGCACATCACTCCTCATCACTGTCGATTCCTTTCTCTAAGAATCATGATGGCAACAATTGGAGCCGACACAGCGAATCTCTTGCAAACTCATTTGCAGGTAAGCTGATTTAGGTGAAGAATTATCACTTGACAGCCCCCAAGAAATGAGGCACTTGGTGTTCCCGTAAGGCTTTTCTGTTGGCATGCACCATTACAGCAACTCCTACGTGAAATAATCTATCCATCCTCCACCCCGCACTTTCCCATATATCTGGGGATGCCACTGACAACTCGGGGAGAGGGTCTTACCGCTACCACAATTCCACGCCACCGAATAACAAAAACTCAATCAACGGATAACATTTTGAAAGTTCCAGTTTTCCTGCCTTCTCTTCTTCTTCCCTTCTTCTTCGAAAAACTTGGTCACTTACAGAAAGTACGTATCCGTCGCACGTGGTGTAAATCAAACGTGACGTGCAGTAGTCACTTGTACCTACTTGTTTATGTTTTGTATGCAGGTATCCAGCTGCTCCAAAATTGTTACACCCGAGGCAATGATCGACTCCATTTCAGCCCACCGCATCTTCAAAGATTAAGAAAAAGAAAAGATGGAATTTAAAACATAACCCATTCATGACCAGTCAAACAAAACGCTACATAGCTCGTACGTAGGTAGCTAAACGAAAAAGAAAAGTCGGAATTTCAATCGACTTAAGTGAAGAGGTAAGATTACAAAATCTCGAAAGATTTCCAAAACGTCTGAGCAATCATCAAAACAGATGAAATGGATCGATCCTTTATTTCGTTTCATTTTTAAAAGGTTTCGTCTCGTCTCTCATCTCGTTTCATTCCTCCAATCCTTCCCGTGCAACCACATTTACATTCGTGAACTTATACATTTACTTGGCATGCTTTCCGGCCAGACGAAAGCGAAGATCCTGAGGCGAGTGAAGATACACTGAGTCTGTAAGGGAAGATAAATTCAGGTAATAATCTGCAGCTGTCATACCAGAAATAGCCACGGATATTCAGGAACGCAGGCACGTCAGCCATACTTTAATACTTTTCCAAGCCCCTCTTTTCCCGAAGGATCGTCTAATATCTCTTAAGGCAAGGTTTCGCGGGCTTGCTTTTCCGGAAACCCAGAAATCATCCAACTGAATCCAAATGATATACAATCATGTCAATGTTTCATGCTCTCGTAAACCGTGAAAAGTATATAAATTCAGTGAAATTCCCAAGCAACAAAATCAGAACCATTTGCTGAAAAAACATCCACCAACGTAACTTGTGCAACCTCTGTAGCACCAATACCATGGCACAAAAGTGGCTATTGACCTTTTAAATCAGTGAAAGAAGATAAACACCAATCGAGATGTGATCGCACCCCACTTTTGGTGGTGACAAACCTAGCAAGATGAACCCTTAAAAGGAAATAAAATGTGCCTAGTTAGTTGACGGTGGTACGGATATCTTGATACGTACATTTTCCCACCCAAACCACTCGAGCTATTCATTTTCTCCACGCGCTCTTGCAGAGAGAATGGGATTTTAGTCTTTCGCGAGGGTTACTAAATCGAACAAGGTATGACGGGCCGAGGCTTGGGAACATGGGTTAGGAGGAGGAGAGACAGGGATCTAATGAAGAAGTGAGTTCTGGAGACTGGAGCTGATGGATATAGAGGTTTACTGATGACCTGATGAACAGATGGATTATATCATATCATACTATCGTAAGTTTTGACATTGAAGCACGAGAAAAACGAAGAAGAGATGTTGGGTAACCGTAAGTTCGGATTGATAAGGTATCAAAACCTAACAGAGAGTGACTTTAGGTTATCCAGCCCCCAGCCAGCTGTAGGGCATTCTGCTGACGAATATAGTGTGGGTGACACCGCATAGTGCGAAAGAATGTTCTCTTGCATATGGGAACGTATGATGATGAATATTGCCCAAAGAGGTGACGGTGTGAGATTTTGGCGAATGGTTTTTGATTCATTAATTAGTGATTCATCAGAAATCGGAATACCACTCGCTCTAGAAGATTGAGAATGAAACCAAGTTATACAACCGTAAGGTTTGAAGAATTGACCCAAATGTACTTTCGGGTGAGTATGATGAAGAAACCCCGATTTAGACGAGAAAATGGAAAATCCGAAGAATCGTTGGCTGAGCCAAAGGGAAAGCAAGGTTGGGAAGTAATAAAAATTCGACTGGTTTAGATTTCAGATTCACTCGTGATGTGCTGCAGTTACCGGGGGCATTGAAAATCTTGACACTAAGATCAAGTACAGTAGACGGCTGACGAGATTCTACCCCTCATTCATCCTCAGATGAGAAGTTCGGATTGATTATTCTTTTCGGGATGTGACGTGACGCCGAGATGGAGAACATGCTGCTGCATTACTTAACATTTTAATATATTTGTCCCGAAGTACAAGACCTTGTGGGCACTTATTAGCTATTTGAGTTTCGTGCCGACCTACCTATAGTTTTGTGAAACCAGTACTGTCGTCGCTACGGAAAGTGTAAATGAAGGGGCAATTCTGCTGCATGCTTGAAAAAAAGGGTTCGAGTAGCGAATTTGCATCTGTAGGTACAAATACAGGAACGCTCTCGATTTATGCCACGCGCATTTACAGATATCACTATACTCTTATCAGAATTACCCGACGGAAATATTGAATCTAGTTCATAGTTGACAAATGCATCGATGGTGCATCTTTCACTGCCCTACTTGTTTTTTAGTGTAACGTTAGTTCAAAAATGCCAACGAGGTGCCCGGAAATGGTCCAGGTAGCACCAACACCAAATGTTCTCCATTTGAAACCTTTCTGGGCAAGACCGTCCGGGTATTTCTAGAGGGAATTTACCTGGGGCATCCAAATCGAAGCGGCATTTATAGGTTATGAAGTGGAGGTAAAATAAAGGATCGGAGTCGCCATCTAAATCATCTCGTTGTCTGCGACGGTTGTTCAGCAGGTCCAATAACAGGCAGGCCTGGGAGCAAAAGCCACTGCGAACGAATCGGGAGAATCCAATCCCTTCCTTGTCTTAGATGGATTTGCCGAACCTTGTATTCTGAAGAACTCGGGCCTTGAGTGGAAAAAAGTAGATTTCCACACCAGAACGTTAATGTTCGAGATGAATAATGCAATAAGACCAATTAATATACTCGTCCAACTTCATGGATATTATAAGATTTCAAATCGGAAAAGGAACCAGATACCCAGGCAATCTCATTGTATATTCCGGAGGTTTGATCTTCACAGGTGAATATCAGAGAATCATCCAAACTATCCTTGTTAAAAGCCAACGACAATTGGGATCTAGGGATCTGGAATCCTTGAATGCGAATCGTCCAAGTCAGGTACAGTTCGGCAGCATTGCAGTGCAGTCAGTGCAAACGATTTAAGATGGCTACCTTAACTTAAAATAAGTCCCAGGAACTCGAAAAAAGAAGAGCTGAAGGCTGTGTTCGTTGTCTTGGCCTGACACAGTAAGCGTAATCGTGGAATTCGGTACAAGATCTTACGGATTTTGAAAAGTGGCAGTCAGCAGGATCTCTGAAGCTCTTGTTCATCTCTTTCGGGCTCTTTGAAACAAGTATATCATATTCCAGCCGTCCCAATACATCCAGTTCGTACTTGATTCGAGCAAAGAGGGTTGAGAGCTTGTAGGAAAGATGGGTCAATGTAGATAATACCCGAAGATATGAGAGGGACTCAAAGATTCACGGATATTGTAGGGAGATAAACACCCGCAAAGACACAACAAGAGTGGAGCATTATTATCTTGAACTAAAGGCAACCTGCAATCTGAATAGCTGGACGACTTGAGCTTCGAAGGTGTGGTTTGAAAGGTCCCCGGGTATACATGTAGTAGATAGGTAGGTAGCTTCATTCTGTAATTTCTGTTGTACCAAAAGAGGGAAAAAGTAATACTCAATAGGGTTATCGAAAACTTTATATAAATAAAGTTTGGTTTCATGGTTCAGTGTGTGTTACCCTGTTTTTGCCACCAA